CTTGAGTAGAAGCACATGGAAGACGAAACGTTAGTACTGTTGTCGGATCTTTCCTTCCTTAGGGCTCGGCAATTTATGATTACACAGCCGAGTCAAACTATTATTACTTCTAATAGAACGATGGCAAAATCCATCCACCAAATATGACTTCGTATGACACAGTTCATAAATGAATCAACAGAGAGTAAATTCCCCGAAAGTCACAATTTTCCTGCTAAACTAGGAGCTACTAGAGGAGCAGACCCAATGAAAGAAAGGCAGGTAAAGTTCACTCACAGGATCTCCAAATGTGGATTGCGATCAAATAGGGTTGGAGGAAGGTCTTTCAGCTTGTTTTTGTATAATCCCCTATTTAGCCAGAACAGTCAAGAAGATTAGCTGTTAGCTTATCACAAGAATAACAAAGATTTATCAACGAAATCATGACCTTAGGCTCCCTGAACTTTTCCCTTTAGTCTGAAGTTCATAAATGAAGCAACAGAGAGTAAATTCCCCGAAAGTCACAATTTTCCTGCTAAACTAGGAGCTACTAGAGGAGCAGACCCAATGAAAGAGAGGCAGGTAAAGTTCACTCACAGTTTCTTCAAATGTGGATTGCGATCAAATAGGGTTGGAGGAAGGTCTTTCAGCTTGTTTTCGTGTAATCCCCTATTTAGCCAGAACAGTCAAGAAGATTAGCTGTTAGCTTATCACAAGAATAACAAAGATTTATCAACGAAATCATGACCTTAGGCTCCCTGAACTTTTCCCTTTAGTCTGAAGTTCATAAATGAAGCAACAGAGAGTAAATTCCCCGAAAGTCACAATTTTCCTGCTAAACTAGGAGCTACTATAGGAGCAGACCCAATGAAAGAAAGGCAAGTAAAGTTCACTCACAGGTTCTTCAAATGTGGATTGCGATCAAATAGGGTTGGAGGAAGGTCTTTCAGCTTGTTTTCGTGTAATCCCCTATTTAGCCAGAACAGTCAAGAAGATTAGCTGTTAGCTTATCACAAGAATAACAAAGATTTATCAACGAAATCATGACCTTAGGCTCCCTGAACTTTTCCCTTTAGTCTGAAGTTCATAAATGAATCAACAGAGAGTAAATTCCCCGAAAGTCACAATTTTCCTGCTAAACTAGGAGCTACTATAGGAGCAGACCCAATGAAAGAAAGGCAGGTAAAGTTCACTCACAGGTCCTTCAAATGTGGATTGCGATCAAATAAGGTTGGAGGAAGGTCTTTCAGCTTGTTTTTGTGTAATCCCCTATTTAGCCAGAACAGTCAAGAAGATTAGCTGTTAGCTTATCACAAGAATAACAAAGATTTATCAACGAAATCATGACCTTAGGCTCCCTGAATTTTCCCTCCAGTCTGAAGTTCTTTTTCCTCTATGGGTTCAACGTCAATATAAACCAAAAAGAAGTCTGTCAGGACCACACCTACTTTTTTTGACCACATCATATCGATCGTGACATATTATAAATAAATGGTATGACATGTTTCTTTTTCCTTACAAAACTAAGACAACATTTTTATTTAAATCACAACTGTAATAAAGTTGGCAAACGTAATTCAACGTACAATGCTTGAAGATTGCTGAGGTTGGCAAGCAAGTCAGATGGTAGCTCCTCCAAATGGTTATCACTCAGGTCTCTGTAAAATGCAATGGCATTTTAAAATAACGTTTACAAGGGGAAATATCCGAGAACAACTCTGACTTTATTATTCTCAGGTGATTAGCGTTTACAAGAAGACTGAAAAATTCATTACATAGTTACAAGAATGTATAAAGAGGAGAATTTCTTCTATAAGGGTGATGAAACTCTTACATGGACCAAACTGTCCCTATAAACTTAGCAATCATATCAATAAATATCAAAATCGAAAGGCGCCCTTGCATAGTAAATTGCAAATAAGTCAATTTATTTTCAAATAAAAGTATGCGTGACCAGAAACTTTACCAAATAATTTCTACTGTTAGAAGATAAAAAAAATTTCCAAGGACTTTAAGGTTCGAAATATTCCTGGATGAAGGCTGCTTAGTGTGTTGTTGTGGATATACCTGTGATTTGATTGGAACGATTGTCAAAGGCGTTGATACTGTCCGTGCATTGATTAACGCCTCCATATGCAGGGTGCGGAGTGTAGAGTGACTAGTGCATAGTGAGGACAGCGCTGTGGCATTTAATTGCTTGTTTTGACTCGGGTAGAAACACATGGAAGACGAAACGTTAGTACTGTTGTCGGATCTTTCCGTCCTTAGGGCTCGACAATTTATGATTACACAGCCAAGTCAAACTATTATAACTTCTAACAGAACGTTGACAAAATCCATCCACAAAATATGACTTCCTATGACACAGTTCATATATGAATCGACAGAGAGTAAATTACCCGAAGTCACAATTTTCCTGCTAAACTAGGAGCTACTATAGGAGCAGACCCAATGAAAGAAAGGCAGGTAAAGTTCACTCACAGGCCATTCAAATGTGGATTGCGATCAAATAAGGTTGGAGGAAGGTCTTTCAGCTTGTTTTTGTGTAATCCCCTATTTAGCCAGAACAGTCAAGAAGATTAGCTGTTAGCTTATCACAAGAATAACAAAGATTTATCAACGAAATCATGACCTTAGGCTCCCTGAATTTTCCCTCCAGTCTGAAGTTCTTTTTCCTCTATGGGTTCAACGTCAATATAAACCAAAAAGAAGTCTGTCAGGACCACACCTACTTTTTTTGACCACATCATATCGATCGTGACATATTATAAATAAATGGTATGACATGTTTCTTTTTCCTTACAAAACTAAGACAACATTTTTATTTAAATCACAACTGTAATAAAGTTGGCAAACGTAATTCAACGTACAATGCTTGAAGATTGCTGAGGTTGGCAAGCAAGTCAGATGGTAGCTCCTCCAAATGGTTATCACTCAGGTCTCTGTAAAATGCAATGGCATTTACAAATAACGTTTACAAGGGGAAATATCCGTGATCAACTCTGACTTTATTATTCTCAGGTGATTAGCGTTTAAAAGAAGACTGAAAAACTCATTACATAGTTACAAGAATGTATAAAGAGAAAAATTTCCTCTATCATGGTGATGGACGATTTTCTCTTAAAGAAGCAATCGAATTATCCATTCATCTTTGCTTCTTGGTATATTTGGCAGCTGGTTGATTAGCTATTTAATGCTTTTATTTTTTCTTGAAAAATTATATATAGTGTCCTCTCTTGTTGGTTTGTTTGTTTGTTTTTTTTTTTGTCTACTATTTGAATTTATTTGACTTGAATGATTACATGTAATATACGCACAAGATTGTCGTTGTAGCTGGCAGTTTCCATGGAAATGATTTAAGTTGTTTTCCACTGCAGTTAACTACCACTGACTTGCATTCACAGGGTTCTGGACAATCAATTGTAGTATTTGATGCCAAATAATTGCTTCTTACGGTTTCAACAGCTGTTCAGTTAAATTTACATACGTGATAAGTATTTCCAAAATAAGAAACAAAACTACGTACTGATGACTGATGATTACTAAATATATGTGGTAGAGAGGGCTAAATTATTCGCCAATAGTATTTACGAGAAGTGAAATGTCATCGCTTACCCAATAAAAAAATAAACACGAACATGGTTTTCTTTGTGACAGACATGACGCCAGAATCACCTGAAAGCACAATAGACAAGATCAGCGCTTAAGATCGAGGCAAACAGGCATGGCAAAGAAATCTATGTGGAACGCATTTTCAGTCTTGTGGTCAAAGGGAAAATAAACTAAGGAGAGCTTGGAAAAATTTGAAGAGCTGAATATAACGAAATCTTGAAAAAGCAAACTATAGGCGTACACTAAGGGACCAGTCTTTATTTATCAACGGTAGGGGAAAAGAAGGGGGAATCAGTCGTCGCCAACAGAGTATAAAAATAGAACTGTAGAAAATTGACAGCCGATTGACTTTTAATGAAGGGGGACTCATGCAAATATGAAAATGACTTTTTATCGCCGACGGGGGCCGGGAAGGGGGGAGGCAGAGGATTTGGTGGACCAAGTAGGGGTCAACAGAAACGGAGGGGGATCAGTCGTCGCTAACAGCGATTAAAAATAGAACTGTAGAAAATTGACAGACGATTAATTCTTAATGAGGGGCACTCATGCAAATATGAAAATGACTACTTATCGCCGAGAGGGTGGGGGGGGGGGGGCGATTATCTGAGGAAATCACGTGGTGTTCAGCAGAAGCGGAGGGGGGTATCGCCGACAGAGTATAAAGATAGAACTGAAGAAAATTGACAGCCGATTAAGTGCGAATGAATGGGGATCATAAGAATATGACAATGACGATGAGCTTTATTGCTGAAGTCCGTCATCAGTCGTGCCTGGTCTGAAACAAGCTCAAAGAAAAGCATTTGAAGCCTTTTGAAGCAGTCTGTGTTGACGTTACACTAAGATCTGCGATTCAAACGCACTATAAAAGTATATATATATATATATATTTTTTACCAATTGTTTTGAACTATTTAATGTACTACTTGCAATTCACAAATGGATGGATTCAATTATTTACCTGAACTATCCCATCGAGTCTCTGGTGTCTTGTAAGCCACAATATTGCACCGTTAAAGACAGAATTACTAAAATAACGTTATTTGAATACGTTTGCAATAAACTGCATGAAAACGTGGATTTGCATGCATAATTACCGATAATTATGTGGTGGACGATACATAATTAATATCCCGGGGAACTGAAATTGTTTTGAAACTTCCAAACTTTTCAGGAATTCATCTTTCTTTAAAAAACTGAACTGTTCATTTGACTTCTTGTCTCTACTTATAGCAAATATTTGTGCTTTTTCATCTCTTTTTCGTTCAATATGTTCAGTGCCTGTCTAAACATGACGTTATTGTCATTATTGGTTATTTAAAAACTAGCGATCTTTATCAATTAAAGAAAATTCAAATGAAACACGTAGGATGAAATATTTTTAATTCACAAAGAAATTGTGACTGGTAATACGACTGAAGCTGAGGAATACCATTCATTCAGAAATAGATATTAGTAAAGGATGTATTTCCGAGGAAGTGAAAAGAGTGCGCATGCCCACAAGAAGCTAAAGCTTGGCACGTGGTGTTTCGATACATAAATTTCTCACCAACACAGATTTTTCTATGCTGCCGCATTTAACAAACCAGATCTCACAGACCGCCCAAAACTAATGCGGGGTTTTGTTTAAAAATACATATTTATGTCCTGATGCTTTGCCGCAGGTGAACTTTCCATTGCAAATCTAGCTCTTTTTAAATTATTTAGGCTAAAAGATGAATTTCACATACAGTTCATGTTTCTTTTCACGTTTCGTGTAACAGTCATATCATGTAATATCTAAATTTTTCAAACTTCTCAGATTGAGCCCGGGCTGCTTGTTGTGTCAAACTTACCAAATACGTCAACATGTTCAGATCTTTTTAGTAGAATAAGACAACCATCAGCCTTGCATGTTACGATTTATGTACTTTTATTCATGGACGGGAAGCTGTTTATAACCGTTTTCCTTAGGCACTCGGGTAAATCATACACGAGGGCCAGATGACAGCTCTTTATAATAAACTAGCACAAACATATTTCATGCATTAAGTAATAATACGAACTCTCACTGGATCAAACAATTCGTACCCTGATTCTACTAGTTTGATCAAAATGAAGGATCAATTTCTGTCGCTTGGCCGTGGGAAGTCTGTGTACGAGACTAATTCTGCCCTCGCCTCCACCCCCTCCCTCACCTTAGCCATTGAAGAAGTCCGATATTTTTATTATTTTGAAGGTTTAACTGAATACTTTTCGAATGTCATTTATTGCGGAGTAGGTGGACGCCACACCACCAAAAATTCCAACAGCTATGAGTTCATACAAGAAAACCTTGATATGAAGAGGAATATTACGTTCAATTCTCAAATAAAACAAACAGGGAAATACAAAGGTCAATGCAGTTATTGTGGATCCTCCTATAAGAGACAGAATGGGACCAAACTTTGGGATGAGTTCGCCAATGCCAAGAATAAAACACATGATGGCGGTGCGAAGGAGGCACCGTTTGACACTAAATCCTGTTGGAAAAGAAGACCAAAAAATGACTTAAGTTAGCGTAGGTGTCTAACATTAAAACGCTGTGTGGGTGGGGGGTTTTATGAAAGCAAGACTCCGATAAGGAAAACAGTTTTACACGAAAGAAGCAAGAAAAAAAAAGTTCGTATTTCGCACTTGGATAAATAAGCGTAGCTGTGAACCCTAGAGCTATCTTGATCACATTCCTTGTAAAATATTAGATTCTATGTTGTTTTACGGAATAGCTAGACGTCCATCGCAACCCCTGCTTCCGGCTGAATTTGTGAGATTAACCCTGGGTGTATTTAAACCAACCTTGAGGTATGCTCAAAAAATCCTCAAAAGACTGTGATACTGGGTTTATCACAATAACAAAGCTGAACAGCAGGTGAAGTGTGATCAGTACAAGCACTATGTCTAACATAACAGCAGCCGCGTCATGTCCTTCGTATTTCACGCTTTCGAGAATGTTCGATGTGATGTTCTTGCCGTAAGCCACAAAACCGAGGATTGAGACGGGCAGATACATGCTTACGACACCAACATACGCCCAGAACACAGAAATTGGAAACTTGGAGCATTTTTTCATGTCTGTCTGAATCGTTGGAAAGGTTGAAGCGCCACCAAATGAAAATAATATAGTTCCGAAAGCTAAAAGAAAAGGAGAAATTAGAAGAACTCAGCAGCATTGAGGAATGAATATAAGGTTCACTTTAGATAAAACCTACCATCCTCATTTTTCCTGCGAAATTTTAGCCACGCAGTGGATAGCTCTTACTGACGATTGAAATGTTAACGTTTCGCAGCACATTCTAGTAAAAAAGTCATGTCATTTTTTATTACACTGGATAACCTGGTAAGTCGACTTGACCACACCGAGACCTTTGGCACTCATGTAACAAATAGATCCCATGTTAACGTGCCTCTGTTCAGGATTATACAATAAGCACAGTTATGCACGCATTCTGATTGGTTCTCACTTATGATCTATTGGAGGACAGACGTATAGATGACGTCATCATTAAAACTTTTTCCGTATATTTTAATTCTTTATTATATAAAACAATTAGATTCCAAGTTGCCGTGCGTCTGTTCAGTAATAGATCACAGAGGACGTCAAAGTGTGGTAAGAACATCAGTTACACACGAGGCGCAGCCGAGTGTGCCACATTTTTGTTCTTACCACATTTTGACGTCCTCTGTGATCTATTAGTGTACAGGCGCACGGCAACTTGGAATCTATTTGTTAAATAGATCACAGATGGAGACAAAACGTGGTAAGAAAAACAAAAAAACACATGAAGCGCAGCCGGTTGTTTTACTGATGTTTTTACCACATTTTGATGTCTTCTGTGATCTATTACTGTACAGACCCACAGCAACGTAGAACCGATTTGTCTAATTATAGAGATGACGAAAGGTTGTTAATGGTGACGTCATCTATGCGTTTGTCTTCCAACAGAACATAAGTAGTACCAATCAAATGCTTGTATAATTCAACTTATCATATAATTTTATATGAGTAGCATGTATAATTAAATATGATCATCCACTTAGGAATACACACCTGAAAAGAAACTCTCGAAGCTTACAGTAGGTTGTTCAACAGTATTCAAATCAGACGGCATATCCAATGCGATGCAGACGCAGATCATCAAACAAGCCACAGCTGTTGCTACACTAGCACCGACAGCGATCCCCCAGAAGTCCTTGGGCGTTCCTAGCCACGAGCATGGCAGCAGAACAGCAAAACAAATTACGAGCCAGATACGCAATTCGCCGGTTTTCCCAACATCAGCCACGTGCAAATTGACAAGATTTGCCAAGTTTCGCGCCGCCAGGATCAAAAACACTACACACACCCCTAGTCATAATATCAAAACAGTAACGTCAGGTAACACCTATACATTTCATCGTCCAAACATGGATGTTTGTTCCAAATGTAAAAATATTAGTTTCGGAGCCTTGTCAAAGACATCGAGGTTGACTAATGTTGCTCATGGTATTGATATGAAGCTATGTTTCGCTTCAGAGAGTTGAAAAAGAGGATTTATGTCATTTTTACCTTTTGATTTATTACCCTTTACAATAAAAACGTCGGTGATTTATTTTTCGCGCGGGATGCTTGTGCAAATCAAGTCACAACCTCGATCCCGTGTATTTCCCAGGGAGGAGAGGTCCTGGGAACGAGGCAAAGCAGAGTTCAAAATGGCTATTTGATTGCTAAACCTGACACGAACTGTCACACGACTCTTTACGTAAGGAACATATTTAGAAGTGGGAACCCAACAGCAATTTTTAGAAAATTCACTCAGGGCATTAGACTCAAAAATAATCGAGCAAGCAGACGTCATCTTCGTAAATCACATCATGTAAAATAGAGTAAATACTTAAGGCCTAGGTGTAAGGAAACACTTTAAAAACTCACTGCCTCGCATGTATGTATTATAATAAAGCAATTATTGATTGATAACCCTGCAGCGAAGGATGATGCATGTGTTCAGTCCCTTGGAAGTGTCTTCTGTTTCCTAGCACCCGCTTCCGTGTTCAATTGCTAAATTTAAAAATCTCCAGTTAATCAATAAGCATTTCATTTCAATGTTATTTTCAGTACTATACCTATCAGTGTGATATTGATGCAGACAGTCACAGTCAATGACGCCCATCTTCCATAAGCCTTTTCTCCTATTGCTGGGTACGGGTACCGTACGTGTCCCTTGTACTCGCTATGCCTTTCACGAAGAGTCGCCCACGATCTCCCAAGAACCGTTCCACAGTAACCCGAGGCAAAGCAACAGAGAACGAGTAAACCGAATCCTGTCCAACCGGCTCCAACAATGGCAGCAGGAAGAGCCAAGACTCCACTCCCAGCCATCTCTCCGGTGATGAACACTGCGGCCGTGAACACAGTTAAACCTTTTTGCAACTCCTCAGGAGAATAATATTCGCCTCTCTCTATAATTTCGTCTCTGCTGTCGAAGGAATCTTCTTCCGATGCGCCATCTGGATGCTGATCACCGCTTTGGATATCCTTTGCAACAGGAGGGACAAGCATATCGCTCAGTTTTATTTCTCCAAGGTTCCTTTGAGTCGGCCGTTTGCAATGAAGAACGAGTCACATGATAGACATAAGAGCGTAACTTGTTTTCGTCACGCAATCTTCAGGCGACACTGGGGTTATCCGTGACTACCCTTCATACTGTATTAAGACATGTTTCTACTCCTTATTTTGCAGCTGGAAAGATATAATTATCTCGAACTTTGCATAAAGACCCATCAATAAGGAGTTTGGTCAACACTGGCGCAGGGATATGAAAGCAAATTTGTCGTCACTACGTGAATGCATCTCCAATTTGAGAGGGAAAACCATGTCGATTAATTTCTACGAGGATATATGCAAGTGCTGGGAAAAATACTTTTGCACACTGACACGCGGGTTGCCCTAACTCGAATACTTCCTTGTCATCAGACCCTGTACTCCACTGTCCCCTCTCCAGTGATCCCTCCAGTGATTTTTTTTCTATCTTCTGGAAAATAAAGATTGTTTATGTAACTTCACTCAGGTGTCCTAATAATATACTAGAGATTTTGAACATCGAGCACATGAGATGGCCCTCATTTGGAGAGCATTTCAAGCGATTAAAGGCGGAGGTACTCATCAAAGTAAATCACAAGATATTTCATTTGACAGTACAACGCTTCCCGTGCTTGTTGCAGAACGTATTGCGTCCTTCCTGAACGGCAAAGATCTGATAAATTTGGGAAAGACTTGTAAATTCTGGAACGAAATATCTCGCAAGAATATCGTCTGGAAAATCCTCATCGAGAGACGGTTTGGACGGCAGGCAATTTCTGAAGCTAAAAATACCGCGATAGATTACAAAGGGCTTTATTTCAAACTAGCTACAAGCAAGAAGCCAGCTACTTCTTTTGATATAGTTTGGCTGAACGGTCATTATTTACAGAAAGCGAAAGACAGGGAAAGCGGATATGGAGAAGTTCTTCAATTGAATTCTGTTTGTTGGCTTCAAATCAACCAGTTTTTCGTCGGCGTTCTTCCAGGAAAATATGCTTTGGTATGGCGTATGAAACTGGATGGAGTTTACGTAAACTCAAGGGAAACGGTAGAATTCCGAGCAAGGCCGGAGGAAGGGTGTGGAAAGGAACTTTGTTCGAAATGGACCGAGCATGATCTGAAACGTGCAGAACGCCGCCATGGTAATTGTAAATGGTTTGAACAGAACATGGGGAATTTTGAAGTGACAGCTACCTGCAAAGTATATGTTGAGATTAAAGGAAGAATAAGTCAGTGGTGTGGTGGTATGTCGTGGGATTATGCCGAATTAAGGCTGCTTAAGTAAGAACTTGATAAAACAATTATCCACAGCAATTGATACCACTGAGAGTTTTCACGGTTGGAAAAAAGTAATAATTCCTTTGCTGGGATTAATTTATTTTCTGGTCGTACTATTTTTTTCACTTTCTGAGGATTTTGGGGTATGGAGTGTAACATTTTAGCATTACCTAATTCTGGTAAGTGTATAATGCAGGCACTTTTTGACTGGATAGTATGATTTCAGCAATAGATTTCACAATGTTGTGGGTCATCACAGTAATATGTCAGAGATAAAGTCAAAATTTGCTAGAATAAAAAATTGCACAACGGAGATGTAGCCTATTGCAAGTGTATCACTGATGTTGAAACCTTATTGTGGTTTATTATTGAGCAGATACAAGGCAACATGGAATCTTGTATATATATGTACACCCTTTTCAAAAATGTTGCAATTTGAAAACATATATTATATACATATTTTCTTTTAGAGAAATATATATTTTTTTGTTTTGTCACAAGCATGGCATAGTTAATTTTGATGAAAAACTGGGTGTGCAATTTAATTGTGGTCAAGTGGACAAGTTTTCCAGCTAAATACTTGCATAATTGAATAGTTTATGAATCAATGGTCTTTTATCACTTCTCTTTCAAAATAATTTGATGGTGAACAACTAGTGGACAATGCAGTAACTTAAACGCAGTAATAATGATAATAATAAAACAATGGCATTCATTAGTAAACTCGGATATACACATTGAACAGTTTTACTGAAAGTAATTCTGTTGTACACCAGAAATGGACAAATTCCACTATTGTTTTAGCCATTTCTTGGTGAAATGCTATTCATACCATCAGACCTACTTTTCAGTTTCATTTGACTTTTATGGCTATAATAAAGCAGTCATGTGAAACTAAAGATAGTGCTGAATAGAACCAACAGTTAAAAAATAGAGATATGAATAATTTTTGGTATTCTCATGATTGGATTGAGATTTCAGTTTCTAATGGCTTCATATGAATGTGAAATACACATGCATGGTTCATCACCTTTTTGAAGAGAAAACAAAAAGATATATATATATATATATATCTTATGTATACTTTCAAATTGTAACACTTTTGAAATTGTATATGTATATGTATGCATGTATATGTATATGTACTGGTGTATAGATATATTTATTTATTGATAATAACGATGTAGCAAAATGTGATGGTTTCATCTATGCTTCTGTCCTCCAGTAGATCATAAGAAAGCACCAATCAAAATATGTGTTTAATTCAGCTTGTTAATATATAATTTACTGTAAATGGCATGATCCTAAGCATGATCTTGGTTCAACCAAGGCTTGGAGGACAACTGTATATTACCATGGTGCATTTAGCTTCTGACTAAGTCATCCAATGGCTAAGTGGAATAGCAGTATGGCAGCAGTTGCAAGTGTGCATGGCTTTTATTTTGAGCGGTTCATTTGTGTATTTTTACCAGAACTTGCTGGAAGCAAAATTTATCTTGTGAAATATATCAAAAATTTTTACTCCCTTGGCAAATCTTGAAAGTGTAAACTTTCAGCTCAATTCCTAATATACTGTAGATAAGTTCTATAGATAAGTATTTGTTGTAGACATTGAACATAATTATAAAATGCTTTCAGATGAGTGAAATATTCTTTAATAAATACAGAATAACTTTCATTATCATAATCAAAATCAGAGGTGAACTAAATTTCAACCAAGGATAAAGTTGGACCACAAAACCTTTTGAAGGTTGATAATTATGTGGTCTCTTTCATGATGATGAAAGAGAAGAGAAAATGGAAAATGACATATGACAACAAACAAGCTCAAAGCCAGTCATTGAAATTCCATGAAAAGTTTAACTTCTTTCCCTAAAATTTTTTATTCATTTCATGAATTTATTTTGTGTGTATTGCCTAATAAAAAATTAATAAGAATAATGGGCCCTCTCATTTTGGCATTACATTTTATTCAATATCCTTAGTCCAAAAACCATGTCCTGTTTCATTCATTACCTCTCTATTGTTTCCTCTGTCTTGAAAAAAAATTTTTATTAAGATGCTCCTAGTGACATTGCCTCACCCAGGAGAGCAGATTAAAAATAAGTTATGCACAGAGAAATTTTAATGGCAAGCCTGAATAATCTGAGGTTATATATTCATTGATTATTCAAGCTTAGGAAACTTGTACCACTGTCCCAATTCAATCAAATACAGAACTGAAAATTATTGTGAGTTGACTAGTATTTCAGGCAGTTTATGATTGTGAGTTTTTCCTTCAAGATCTCATTGGCTCCTTATGAGGTGGTTACTTTTCTTTGGTCAGTAAAATTAGCGTGTGATCAAAATGTGCTCTTTCCTTGTTTTCCCGCTTCAAAGCCCATCTTTCCCTCCTAACTATTGCTTGCCAGATATTTTTGCATTGGCTCCTTATGAGGTAGTTACTCTTCTTTTTGGGTAGGGTAAATCAGTGTGTAATCAAAATGTGCTTTTTCCCTATTTCCTGTTTGAAAGCCCATCTTTCCCTCCTAACTATTGCTTGCCAAATATTTTTGCATATTTCTTACTCTTCGCTAACCTGAAATGCTGTTATCCTCAAATAACCTTCTGACTCTCTATCCCAGTTAATTTTCTATGGATCAACGTATCCTCAGGGACTACCCAGGAAACACCTAGGTCGTTTCTATCTTGAGCCCGTGATACAAACTGAATACACTTTCTGTAAGAATCACAGGTGGCTAAACAATTCTAACTAGTTCGGCTTGTGAACAAGTGAGAGGAATGCAGTGAAACGGATATGAAATAGTGTTAATTATGGGCCAGAGTTGCAGTTGGATGCACTGCTCTTGTTGGGAAAACTGTGCCTGTTGTCAGTATGACTCGGCGATTTGTGGACCTCGATATGCACGGTATCAAAGCGACGATATTGATGTTGACATGGAAAACGTTATGGGCGATCTTCTCGAACTTGATCCCTTGCAGTACGACAAGGAAAGTGGAACAGAAAAGATCAACACGTGGATCGATGGAACTGTTCCTCAAATTGGATTGCCACCGAGTTTTGTCGCTATCAGCCGTGCTAAGTGCATCAAATATTGGCAAGTGTTACAGACTAAGCCCACCGCTAAACTGAGCGGTTCTTTTGTGCGGTTTTGCTTCGAGAAACGTCCAAACGGAGAGCTACCTAGATTGCTTATAGAACACAAGGGAAAATCGGTCATTGTCAGAAGTCCTCAGGATCGAATCAAACTCAAATCCAACGAGCCCGAGGTACATGTTTGATGCACGTCATTGGAAAATTAGAGGAAATACTGTCAAAAGAATATTTAATGAGCTGATGAATCGCAGGAGCTGTCAGCGATATTACTGAATGACGTTTGTCCTCGTGAAGGGATAAAAGGAAAAAATCTAGTCTGTGAATATCTCCAGTGCTGCCCGAATGGGTTATCGTCACATTTTTTTGGGGGGGGGCCTTTCGTTAGTTTCGTTTTCTGCTAGGACCTGAGATCAGCTGAAGAAGACGAGCGCCGATCGTGACATGCTTACCTACAGTACATTATTTCAAGCTCGATTTATTTTCATTTATGTTGCGTAAGGGAGGTAAAAAGAGGTGTACGTCATAGTATTAGTAATTTCAAAGCGTATTTTTTGGTTACTTAATTTGTATTTATTTATCAGAAGAGATATTCTGGGATGTAAACAGATGAAACACACATTTGACATCATTTTAAGATGGCATTTAGTCTTCTATGAAGTAAGAATTGAAAATTTCTCGAGCGTCATCAATCATATTATCACGACAACGGCGTTCAATTCACAAAACTTGGGGATTCAAATTTTCGGGAAGCAGATAGGTAAAGAAGTTAAAATTTCGAGTGAACTGAATGCTTGAAAAGCTTCCAATTCTTTGCAGTGTTAACATACTCTTTCTCGACCGCTTTTAATTACACATATTCGATCTGCATTTATAGAATGGAGAGTATGTTTTGTTGGTAAGGATTTCAGTGGACAAGGATAATAAATAAAAAAAAAGTAAAGTTACATTCAATCTGTTAAATGTGTAAATAAGTTAGCCAAAACCAAACAATTGTAGACGTTGTAAGTTATTTATATTGCGATCTTTTAGAAACATGGCTAGCAATGACAAAAAAGAGAATGAATTCCTTCCATGGAATTTTATTTATTTAATAGATGTACAGCTTTCAGAATTCTTACATAATATTGATTTTTTTTCTTGTCAAGTCATGATCATTAAGGAAGGGGTTTCGTTACTCCCGTGACTTAATAAAAATTAACTTCTAAAGATTAAAATCTTGAACCACAGATGTTTGTTTTTAGTTAGACACAACACTGTAATAATTATGCGTTTTGAAGCTACAGTACACGTGATTCCTTTTAATTGGGCTGCAAACTCAACTTAAGTTCATTTTGAAGTCAAAGTCACCAGTTTGGTGAACTAACATTATATAATGGTTGCCAGAAACAAAAGAAGGATTGTGACAATAAAACAAAATAGCAAAAAATTAAGACTAGCAAGCCATTGCTTTTGAAGGTTCATGCAACATATTCAGCAGGCTTATGCACAGACCATCAAGTAGAAGGAGGAACATTTTTCTGAGGGAAGACTAGATAAAGGGATTAAAACATCTGATCCAAATGTTATCGTTAGTTTATACCTAAGCCATAAACACTGTGCATTATTTTATAAACATACGACCTTTCTACCCAACCAAAAAACACCAAATTGCTATCCCGGGGTGCAAATATAGACACCAAATTGTTTCAACCCCTACTGACAACCGAACAGTGGCTACTTGGAGCACTGCTTAAGTTCTGTCCATCAGTGTTTTGATTTCTGACTGCAGTGTTATGTTTTCAGTGAAACCTTTTTTTGTCATTCAAAGTCACATAACCCAGTAGAGAGAAAAAGTGAACCACTGATGCAACTTAATTATACTGATGCCTCTGAATAACAAGTGTATCTTCCCCCTTTCCTGCCCCCCGCTTCAAATTTAAAGTGCATAGAAAAGCTCAGTTATAATTGCTCCCTAGGGGGGAGGACTCCCATTGGAGAGAGGGGTGTGCTCATCTGAGATTCTTTAGAATTACACCAATCTTCAAGATCAAACTGGGCATGACTTGAGCTTTATTTGACCAAAAAGACAATGGAGAAATGCCAGAAGGACTGACTGGCATTTTTGGTTCTCTTTCACGACAACATGACAGACAAAGGCAGTGACAGTTTGCTCTTAACATCAAAAGACTGAGGGATTTAAATAAGTGATTGTCACCTTAACCTCATAACTAATGATAATTCCTCCTCCAAATGAGAGATCCTCCAATGTAAATTATAAGATATAATGATGATATCAGAGTAACAAGGTATTTCACTGCATCAGGGTTCCACTATTACATATATACTTCACTGCTAGAAAGTATGCAAATGTAAACATGATGACAAATATTATGACACATACCAAATTTAAGTATCTGCACATGTACAGTCTTGATTTCAACACATTTCCTAAAACCCCTGTTTTTTTTTCTACCCTGTAAAAATAAATAATTTAAGGACTAACTCCATGTGATTATAGTTTCTACCAAATAGTGGCAATGTTCCTGTAGTGAATTCTAAATACAATGAACCCAAATATGACAACCAGACTAAGAAATCACTGAGGAATTCTACTTTATTATTTAACATTCATTTACCACAGGCAAAGCAGTTTTTGTCAAAGAGTTTCCAAAATGACATTGAGGAAATTACTTGATAGTTTTTCCTGAGTCCAAGGATAATAATTGTCATGTATTACTCACTCAGGTGATTATTGGTTGAGACTCAGGCAAAATTCTGTCCTCTTTCCTTCTTTAGAAACATCACTAGGAATCTCTGGTACTCTAGCCATTTGAAAAATTATAATCACCTCGTGATGGCTAATAATAACAATATACAGCATAATTCTCAGCCAATCAGGACCCATTAGTAATAACTAAGCTATGCACAATTGTGTGTTCCTCAAGATGTGAAGCATGTGGGAAGTTTGGACAGCAAAAAAGATGCAGAATACTTCACTAGTGCTCCACACAAGCTTAGCCTCTTTTATCTTAATCTCTTAACTTTCCACGATCTTCTGAAAGTGATGAACACACATCAGTTGTAACACAAGGGAAATTCCTACTGCCATGCTTTAGTGCATGCACACAAGTTAGCAGGCGGAGCATGAAAAACAGGAAAGAAAACATGCTCATGCAACTGAATTAGACTATATGAATTTAATATTTAACAAACTAGGAAATGTTATGAATAGAAGATATAAATCAAACTAAAATTTTGATAAAATGCAGTTCTGATCAATTGAAACAGCCTGCTTTGACAGACACATGGTAAAGTAGAATGGTGAACTTAGTTTCTAGTAATTAATGTTGGAGAGATAAAAATAACAACATTTTAGTGCACATTTTAAATAGTTACTGTTTACCATCATCATTTGGAATGTAGTTCTAACTATGAACCTTACAGCTGGATGTAGGGCATTGTAAAACAACACTTAGACATCAGTAGCATTAGATACTCCAACAGTTTCTCATCATGGCTGTAAACTCCTGATCACTCTCAAAGCCAAGGCTTACACCTTCATAATAGTCCTCAAATTCCTGTTGGGAAATTTAAAGGAAAAGTTAGTTAAGTATAACTTATCACTTATCACAACCATCGAGGAAGATGATTTGTATAAAATATATAATAAAAACAAATCAAAGATGCAGGGTTACTAACAAGGATTAAAGACCAAACAAATAGTTATAATTATGTATTAATTATATAACTACAATTCTTGTTTCTAGTAAGTAATATTATTAAGTGTTTAAAAAAATTATGAATCACAACAACTGGACAGCATGGTTCATTTGATGATGGATTAGTGAAAACTCTTGTAAGGCAAGTGTGCCTTTCCTTTTAAGTGAGAAAATGGAATTTCACACTTGAAAAAGTCACCAAATGTCATAAAAGAAATGGATTCATATTCCTGTAAGGCCACATAGCATTGATCTAAAAGTTTTTGTGCACATCATTTAGGGATTAACTGTCTTGACATCAAAATTATTTCCTTATGACGAAGTTTAAAAAATTTTAGGAAAAAGGGTATATGATGACTTCAGTAGCAAAAAAGTTGACATACCGCATAAGTTACTTGGCCCTTGTTCTCACAAAGTTGAAAAGCGCTAAGAAAGGCCTCTTCAATTTCCCATTCCTTAGCCTCTCCTGAAAAACAAAATGGAAAGGATTAAAGTGGTTATTGTATTGTATTCCTAAATGAGCTTCAGACTTTTTTAGAAAGTAATATAACAAGCTATGTTAACTTAAAGTTTGTTTTAATTTGTGGAAATCCTAGGTTATCTTCAACAAAAATAATCACAAAATTACTGGTTTGCAACCAATAGAGGAGGTTCTTTCAAGTAGTTTGATCTTTGGGTACATGCACCCTATAATGACCCTAACAGACTATACAAGATGACATTTTCAAAAGACAAAAGTTCTCTACATCTGAAAACAAGTTGGAGAATTATTACGAATTGACCAAGACTGATACATGACACCACATATTTAAATCACTAAATGCATGTGTATGCTGTAGTTTGATCTAATTTTGATTGAAATCTCATTTCCCTTTGGTTCTCTGTTGACTATAAAATAACAAATTGAAGGTTTAGGTGTTTGAAATAAAATGAGATGAACCACAGATAAACTTGAATCACAACCTATAATCTGAACCAAGCTCTTCTTGGAAATTATTGCAGCACAGAGCTGTAAATAAGGTACCTTACGATTATCACTTTGTTGGGCAATGTGGCACATGTTGTGGGCTAACATAGAGATTTTAGCCTACTCCCATACTTGCATAATTGATCAGACTGTTTGCTGTCATGTTTTCAGTTTTATTTTCTCATCATGCCTTCAAAAGTGTTAATAATTTAGTAATACAGTTAATGTTCCTAATGGCTTGGGCTAAAATGACTCTGAGTAGGACCCAAAAAATATTAATGCCTGCAAACTTAATTAAACTTTATTACTTTATCACCTGAAATAACTTTTGGGTGTTTTTTGGTGCAGTAAAACTTTTTTATGTCATTCAAATTAACCACACCACTTTTGTTAGGGTCCAACTTCCGGAAAACCTGTTGAAAAACACTCATGGTCAAGTTCAGCATTCATGCAGGTTGATTTCCTGTATAAATTAAATTCTAGGGGTATGATTTTAGAGAGACAAATCTAGATACAGTTTCACAAAAATTTACTCCAAAGCACAACAAGGTTCACATGTTCAACCCTAACACAGAAACATTCAGAAGGCAGACTCAGGAAAGTCTTTAATAAATTTATGCCCCCAATCCAGACCTAAAGGAAGCAAGTTCATGCCAACAACACTATCTGCACTGAAAAACAAAATGACACTTCGACAACTCTCTGCAAAAAGGAAGAGATCAAGGAGGCCTATGACTATCTCACAGACAAATAAGTCCTGTCTCCAGGATCTTCACTAGAACAGAAATCACACCTCAACGAGTAGCTTCACTTAAACATGTCAATTAAAAATTAATAGAAGATGCAAAAAGGCAAATGTGTCAACTATTGGTGGAACTAAAAATGGTTGGAGCACCAGACACATCATTTAGTAATAAACACTCTGAGCTCAAAAATTTAAAAGGAGGCTTCATGGCACAATAAATCCAGTTTCTAGAAAGAATGGCAGGACTGGTCAGGATAAAAGAGGGGAAAGCTCTAAAGAAGTAAGATACTGATGGAAATTCAGAGCATAGACTAGAAACAACTTAATGTTTTTGAAAAATTACCTCTTGCTTACCTTTCTAACAGAGGACTTCCTTAATTCATTCATTTCACCAATAAATCCTCTTGAGAACTCTCCATAGTCTAAGAAGCCATCTTGATTTACATCAAGCACACTCCATAAACAGTTAAATGTCTGAAGTGTAACAGAAAGACAACATTAATCTACAAATATGTTGTACTAGATCTTATTAGATATAATACCCATGTTAATTAATGTTGTAGTTAGTCACCCTAATAATACATCAAGTAGTCATTACTGATCAGAAATTATCTTTTCAAGCTTTCAATTTGGGTGGCCCTTAAGTACTCAAGGCCCTGGAAGTACTCAAAACTTTAGATACAGGCAACCAGATGCTTCTACCATCCACATCTACCACCAACATGTAGAAAATAATCATCAGGTTTACTGTAAGTTAGAGTTTTCCATCAATATAGTGGATTAAATTTAAAAAGTTACCAAATGAATTTAATCAGAAAATTCTAATTAATGATAAAATGTTTTTCTTGACCTACTAAATGAAATATTTTAATTTCTATTTTTCCTAAGTTTAACAGTGACACAATTTTCCAGCAGTGATTATTGATAGACAACTTCAGCACAATTACACCTGAAGAAAAAATGTCAGGTGACTATGCGGTAGTTTCAAATAACATCATGTTGAAATGAATTCATACTTGTTTGAATTGCACCTTTCTTTGTTTAACCCTTAACAACCTAACATAATTTAGTATCAATATTCTCCATACTCTACACACTGTACATTTCCTTTGGCACTGACAAAGAGAATTTGTTTATCAATCAAGAGTGATCTGGGGTGATGCCATAAGGAGAAATTAAATGTTAGTCACTCTTTGCTATCAAAGGGTTAATTTATGGGTCATGAGAAATATATCTCATTAGTTTGAAACTATTTTGAACACTCATTTTAATGTACAACTGTTACAATGACACTGTATGCCACTTGCCTCATCAGGTATTCTAATGTGATAAGCCTCTAAAGCACTTCGGAGTTCCATCCTGTCTAACAGCCCATCTCCTGATCTGTCCATCTTTCTGAAGTGTTGTCCAAGACCCATCATTGTTTTCACAGCCCTTGTTTGTAGTTGCTTTTTGACCATACCTTACAAGAAATACGTCATATGAAAGCATTGTCATTGTCGAAGCAGGTTCATCAAAACTCAAACATAAAAGAAAGGGTGCACAACATCAAGGACACTAAGCCCTCTTTGAGATCAGAATTATGCGTGAAAAAATTCAAATTTTAATAGATACTAAAAACTCCTATAATGCGCCAATCAATTTGGAGTTTCAACACAACCCCCATCCCTCATGGCAACCCATGGTTTTTTACACAAAAGGCCTTCCCAGGGGGCAAAAAATTTGAGTATTGCCTGGGTGGGGTGGGGAATTTGAACAAGAAGAGTAAAGTCTTTCCAGAGGAATACATCTGTTTTAATATGGACAAGATTAAAGGTTTTAGAGTCTGCTTTCCTGAGCAAAAGGCTTAGAATTAAAATTTAGATCATAGAATGATGCTTCATGTGAAAAACCCAACAGCAGTACCAAAACAAAAAGGTCACCACAGGTCAACAAATGACTTGTATGTCATTCAATTGAGATTGCCCTAAAAGTAATCATGTTCATTAGTCACTGATTTTAGATAATTCTTCAGCTTACTTTGTATATTTTTCACTAGCTCCTGCTCCTGGATTTCTGCTTTTGACAAAGGATTATCTAACCTCTCCATTATCGATCTTTTCTCATCAATAGAATGACAACTTTCATACCTGCAGAGAGGAATAACACATTCTTCAACTAACAATAATCACCAACAAATTATTCCTTAAATAAAACAAATTATATGTGTTCTAAAAAGGACAAGAACACTATAATAATATAATTAGTTTCCCTGTGACTTGTCACTTACAGTTGTGCTTCTCTGGCTTCCTCATCAACCTCAGAAATTCGAAACACCACAACTGGTCGGGTTCTTATGCTCTGGGGAAGTGATGTTTGCTGAGAGGTCAAAAATGACAAATTGCTGCCCTGAAATTGGAAACCAAACAGAAACCATTTCAGATTCTTCAGATATAGGTGGAGCACTAGTACCTCTGAGGGCTTAGCAGCCTTCTCCCCCTTCCTGGGACGACACCCAATTTTGGGGAGCCTGTTTTCTTGCTTTAGATTTTGTTATTTATTGTATGAAATTAAAGATCATGCAGAGTCATTCCCTGTCCCTCTCTGAGTAATGTTTTATGCGTGAATTTAGGAAGCGCAAGAATGACACAGCATACTTGCAATGTAATTATCACAGCCTACAATGAATTACACAAAAGTAAGCTCCATAACTGAATAGTTGTGAATTGTCCTTTGAAATCTGCATAAACCACCCTCCTTGAGTTGTACATTTATAACAGCCCAATGTTCTTCAAAATAAATATTATTTCATCAGCCTTTTCTTGATGACACTACACATCCTGTAAACCTGATGTACCAAACCCTCAGTTCATGTATAATCATGATTATGATGTTGAAAGTCTCTCAAGATTCACATGACTGCCAAGAAGCATGCCTTGGTCAACTAAACATGATATCAATATTAAGTCTGTGTCAGATCATTATTTTGCTGATAAATCTTTTGGTTTGCTATGACTTCTAAGGTGTAACAGCTATATGAACATACCACATGAATATCAAGCAGATTGTAAGCTTTTCCCTTATTCCTTCCTTGAACATGGTTGTAACAGCCTCGCTGAATAAAAGGAAGAGCTGATGACCTAAAAGGGGGAAAAATGCATGTTTAAAAAGTAGAAAAAAGAGGTGCACAGGAAGTTTTTACCAGTTGTTAATGTTTTGCTTATACTAAGTGCAAAGTTTGTGAACAAAAATCTCAAACACTTTTTAGTCCTTATGCTGTCATGAATGAAATCAAAGACTTTATTTATTATCTGACATCATAATTGTAGAAAATATTTGCCTAACTTATTGCCTATTTCACCACAAATTCATGTTTTTATCATTGTCTTGATATAATGACAGGTTACCTATCAAATGCAATTATAATAAATTTCCCAAAAACCTCAGTCTTTAAGTCTCACTTTAAGAAAGAACAGCTTAAAAACTGCAAGCCCAATTATCCCTACAATTATCATTACAAAATCATTATGAACTTATCAGAATACAATCCTCTGCAACTGAAAATATTTTAATTTGTTTTAGAGTTTCCTTTAACTCTGATTTGTAACATTTAAGATACTATAATTAGGATTTTGACTTTGGTTATTAAGAAGTCATAGCAAAAATACCAGTAAGTGAGGACCATTTATTTTATTGATAAATATAAATGGAATATCCAAGCAAATATCAACCTTGTGCCAAACTGGTGAAATTCATAGAGTGTTAGTGTCCCATCTGTTGAGAAGAAGAACCCATTCAATTCTCTATGAGCATCTCGACCATTCTTTGTCACAATTCTGGCTCCAAAACGCACTCTCTTAGAAAGGGCATTTTCTGTGTTGGGACCTTTAGAAGGACTCCTAAGTGAAAAGGATGGATCGCTCAACATTTTGTACCTAAATCAATATTATATTAGCAGGAAGTTGAATATGTAGTGTACAAAGATGAATATTGTCTGCAGTCTTTCTTTTGAGGGTCACTAGAGAGGAGACAACTCTTGACTTTGGCAACAGATTCACATAACCCACTCTGCCTATTCATGACATGGTGTTTTCAACCTCAGAGTCAGAGAGTGAATTCAAAATTATCATGGTTCCTACATTCTTCATCAACTGAAGTAATTTCAAATGAATGGCGTTGGGTTTCTTGCTGAATATTCAAGGGTTATGTGGGAACAAGTCATGATTGACTGTTTAGTTGACTGTGAGTAACAGTATTTTAAGTGTTAGGAAGAGTGCAAGAATCCTAGCTTATCTGTTATAGCATCATGAAAAAATTACACAGTGATACTACCATAAATATTGACAATATCATTGTTGCTGATATGGAAATGTTTTGCAATTCTGTTTGGGAAGTTTTCTAAGTATGTACCTTGTGTTATAGAATTCCATTTGCTTTCTTTGTTTGGGTGCCAGATCAGGAGGAATAGTGCTGTTGTTTTTCTCTGGATCAGAGACAGCCGCCCTATATGTAATGAAAAATTTTGATAATTAATTGTGGATACTCATCATGAATCACAGAAATTAAATCCTTAACAGGACTACAAAGAGCCATCATTCCAGATCACACAAGCTGAATCATTTACCAGCCAAACTACTGGTCAAGATACTGACAAAGAAAGAAAAGAATGTCTCACATAATAAAGCAAGGTATTTATCAAACTGCAATGACACATGCAAAGCCCCTTAATATCTTCCTTTCCTTCTGAGTGGCCTTTCACATTCAACCCCTTATGATTATTAAGGGTTCAGTTAAAAGAAGAGAATCAGAATCCATAATTTTCTTATCTATTTTCAAAATAGATTAACAAATAATGACTTGTGGACTAGCACAAGACAGGCATCATTTTTTTTTGCAATCACATGAAATGATTCAATGAGATAAAAAGGACTTCTAATGTCCAGTGTTCCAGTTCTTGGTTCAGACAAATATTTTAAGGCTGCTCACGAAAAAGAATAATTCTTGGAATGACTATTTTCTGCACAGAGCATTTTCTCCCTGCTTCCTGAAAACTAAAATTGAACTAGATGGACATGAAACTTTTGTGTTGATGGATCAAACTTTTAGATGAGGGTAAACATGTAACTATGTGTTGACATAAGCTTATAGGAGCAATCAAATTTTAAAGCAAGTGTCTCAATTTTTGCTATTTAGCACATAATAGCAATAGTCCATTTTACAGCTGCATGCTTGCTTTCCAAGCTACCTTTGAACAGCAGAGAGGGTGACTTTGTTATGATACAATTGTTGCATCTTTTCAAATGCAAATTACTTTGTTATCATGCTAACTAGATACTGGTCTCTATGACAACATGGTCATCTTCAGCCTTACTCCAAATCAAAGACTTGACAAGTGAGTTGATACCAGTGGTCGTACAATAATTAATTACTTGCAAACAACTAATACATGTATCAAAATTAACTTCTTGCAGTTCATTGACCAATACCCCTTACATGAAATCAATTGTGCACTGTCAGTATTATATACCTTGACAACTGATCCACCAGAACTGTTTCAGAAATCAGATCCTTTTTCTTTTCTGAGTGTAAAATTTCCTAAAATCAAACCATCAAATCAAGAGATAATTACAATGTAATTTCTTAATCAAACAGTCACTTACCTATTCATGTCTGCCAAAGATTATATCTTTCATTTTCATAAAATTAATATATTTTGTCCATAGTTTTATCTTAGCTCAACAAGAAGCCAAAAGACATAATTCAAACAAATCAACAACAAAATATTTTCAATGAAAGAGAAACACATATTGAAATAAAAAATAAACTTAGACTAAATTATAATATTTATGTTCCCTTGAGAATTTTTAGAAATTTCTTCAGCCATAACAAAAAAAGTCAAGATTTCATTTCAAATAAAGACAAGTATTTCCTTGCTTTGTCTAAATAGGGTAGCTGGAAACCTCAGAAACAAGCAGCCCACAAAGACACTGCCTGCTGGTGCTTATGAGGAACACTGTTTAATATCTTACAAGTCTACACATAGTAAACTGAATACCCTTTCTTGTCTTGTCTTAAACTGAGCCAGCTCTCGCTGGGTGTGTGGTTGTGTACTCCATGGTCTATCATGCTGATTAGCCAGGCTGCTTGGGTATAAACACAACCAGACATTCCATTAGAGAAAGATAAGTCAAACTCTATCTGAAAGGAAAAGTCTGCTCAAGAAATCATATGCTCCTACCTTTAACTTCCACCTTTAAAAAGTATAAAATCGTGTACATTAAATTATGGTTGCACTGACCATGATTTGAGATCCAAAAGAGTGATTAAATTAGTCTTTCCAAAATAGTCGTAAATTTCCAATCACAACTATAATAAAAATTAACACCTTAATAATCACCGATTATAGTCATCATTGCTAAGAATTTAGATCATGCGAATTTAAAGAGTATTATAGAAAACACATAAGGATGTTTTGACCAGTGTGAACTTACTTCCTTGTATCATTGGCATCCACCTGCAAAATGTTGAAAAATTAGTTGTACTTAAATATTAAAGACAAAGGCAAAATTTATTATGTAATTTATATTATATATTATAAAATTATATACTTAATTTATGTATTGCTGGAAATTAAAGTACTGAATAGTGAAGAGAAGTAAGATTTAGGCAAGTGTGCATTGTTTACTTCATAATATGTGCACAAAGATTGATGTTTTGTGAATCTGGTGTAATAAATCTTCTACAAAATAAAAGGAATTCACCATAGATTGTTCAAATCAGGTTCTGTTACAGTAGTAAGTTTGCAAGTAAAGTACAGTCATCAGTTAAAGACACCCAGGAGTACAATATGTAAATGGGTACTGCTAAACTTAAAGAGAAGCTTGATAACATGCTGTCAAGAAGTTAACCAATGGTGGATTGACATTCCATCCAGGGGAGGTTAGCAATACTCCTTGTCACAATCACTTCATGCTACCAAAACTGGATTAAGTTCCAGTTCGATGGGTCACTTGGGTCAAGGGTAGATAATTCTTTACCTATCAATTTAGATCTGCTCTTATGGCACGATTCAAAAAAAGTGTGTTAACAGGTTGTACTTCAAAACCAACCAAGAAACATTTTAAATTGAGAAATCTTTGATTTACCTTGAATGGCTTCTCTTCAAATCTGACCTCAGGATGGACATCTCTATTCTCATTGTGGCCTGCTTGAAAAGCCTGATCATAGATATAAAGATGATAGAAAATATTAGTCTAAGTCAAAGCCCTATTTTCTATCTATTAAAGATCTCCTTGACCTTACACTTTATGTACTGTTTGTGTATCTTTGTAAATAAATGCAAATACCTTAAGTTAACAAATATTTAGGAAAAACATTGAGGTATTAACATGCATGCACAACCTCATTAGAGAACAGTGCAGCACCTTCCGTGCTTGATCCATGTATGTAGTAATTCTTTTCATAGCAGTGTGATTTGGCCAACAGTTTGCCATCATGTTTACCACTTTTCTCAAGAGAATAATTTATAAACTTAGTATTGCTGGAGTATACAATTTATTTCAACTGCAATATCATGGTCCAACCTTCTGCAGGCCATCATTTCCTTGTGGCTTCTTCTGATCAAGGGGGGGTACATGATCCACTGGCTTCTTATGTGACTGTGTACCATGACCCTGTAACATGTAGAAATTAAAATCCACAAAACTTAACAATTAATATAGAAGATGCTTTCCTTCTCAAATGGCAGAGTCCATCACATATAAAATTCACAAAACTTTGGACTATATTGTTCACAAATTATTGAGAGTAGAATGTGATAATTGATGTGGTCTTTTTTATGTCTGGTAGCTTAATTAATGTATACTCAAATGATCTAAAGCAATCTCCAATTCCACATGTACTTTATTAAGCTTTTATTATCAATATCTTACCTTGAAGTTTTCTTGTTTTTCATTTTTATACTTATAGGTCAGGTGATACAGAGTTAAGGAACATTCAAGTCATCATTGAACCATTTCTTACCTTGGCATACCATGGGTCATGAAGCTACAAAACACATGACAACAACTACCATCATGATATGTTCTCTGTTGTGACTGAGCCCCAGAAATGTTGATGTCTTAATTTAATTTTGAAACTTAATTATCTCCAGTTTCTTTCAAGAAGAAGAATTTAAGACAAATAAGACACCACAATATTTTGATTAGTTTTGTGAGTAGATTTACATACCTGCTGCCAGTCCCTTCCTTTAGGTTTCACTGGATTAGGATGAAATCTTGAGCTATGAAGAGGAGTTCCCCAGCTACAAAAAGAGGTTAAAAAAGAACATGTTCAGATATCATTTAAGTACATTCCAGTCATAAAACCAGCAGCCATTTTGTCTATCTATAATGCTTTAGGAAATGAAAGAAAATTGCTGCATACAACAGAGATCAATTTCTAAATGATAAACTTAGACTCCAAATAAGTATTGCTGACTTAATTTTCAGCAGAAACATAGCATCATGAACAATGTTGTATGCTCTATAGCTCATTTTGTTACAGGAACTTCCATCTACAGAAATTAAGTTCAGGAAATTTGGAGCATACAGTACATGTAAAAGTTTTATGGTTAGACTTTGAATGAATGAAGAAAAAAGCTCAACTTCTAAATAAAAAAGCACTTTATCATATGGAGTGATGATGCCAAAGATCATTAATAACTTGATGCCCAACAAATCCAATGCCTTTCTACACTCCCAGTCAGTCCTTGCAAACCAGCTGTCAGCATCTTAAAAACACTGTGACTGTCTCATGAACCCTACCTGGCAGGGTTAGCAAAAAGAAACTAAAAAAGGGAGGTAAGGGTCAGGGAAAGACTTGTTAAAAACAACTGCTCAGACAAAAACTTAAAAGACATTTGACTGCCATGACCATGCAATATTCTATATAAGCCTGCACTTAATTTGAGTCTCTCTGCCGACCACAAGAACATGTCGTGCTTTGAGGTTCAGTATATGTACATGCATCAGTGGTTGAATGAAAATTTAACCAAATAGGAGTGGATATGGTTTTGTTAGTTTCAATTAGCCATGTCAACACATGAAAGGTTTTTTTTTTAAAATGGAAACTCACCTGATTAAACTACTATTGGAATCTGGCGTGTGTAAATGGGGACCATCCTGTGCTATTGGTTCTAGCAACTAAAATTTGAGAAGATTAAACAATAAAGTAAAAAAAAATTAATAAATATAAACAGGGTTTAAGTTATTTCTTAACAATATTCAGACTAAAATGTCAAAGTATGTTTAAAATTTACAGAGGTGATTATCAATGAGACAGAGCAAAAGAAATAAGAAAAAAAAAGGGTCAGGAAAAAAATGAAATATACCATAGACAAAAATAGCTATATCACGTGATATTATCAAATAATCAATGGTGTTAAAAAGAATGGTTAGAGTGTGATACTTTTGTCTGTTTGAGGCTAGCATTTTGTATTTATTTATTTTGTGCATACTACACACTATATGTTGCTTCGATATACCGATACATCATAACTTCCACAATCTGTACACAATTATTTTTCACATACATGCTAAATCAATGCTTTGTAATGTCTAATTTGTGCAAAATACCTGGTAATTATCATCAGCAAGATTTCCAAGGTCTAACTGAGGTACTCTGAAAAGTTCATCACAGAAAAAAAATTATTCTTGAATAAAGGTATAACTTTGTCAAACAAGTGAAGATTTTTAATTTTTCCTTTACCCCTGAGGTGCTTTTCTTCCACCAGTCCGACCCCGTGAGAAAACTTGAACCTCTACTGGCTGATCAGCATAATTTGGATTTTCCTTAAGAGTACAAAAATGAGATAAATCACACTGTTCCTGTACAGTAATAATTATTTAGTGGTAAATACTGCAACAGTGAAAGTATTAACATTTGATTTGTTCCAAAAAGAAAACTTCAAAATCTTGTGAACTTTGCCAGCAAGTATCAAGATTTATGTACATTTCTAACAGTAAGTTAAGAGATAACATGTTAAAATAAGAGAAATCGCATAAATGACAAAGACAATTACATTAACTGATACAACTAAGAAATTAAGAATTTTGATGTAAATAAGTTACGTTTAATATACTTGACTAAAAGGTGTCAATTAGATGCATGAGTACAACTCAATAAAAAAATATTATCCATGAATTTAATGAAAGTTTGTGAGACTGCATACTCAAAGGTTAAGAAAGATCATCTATTGGAATGAAAAATTATCCTATGAAGAATACAAGTATGCAAAATCAACAGTGATGGAAGGCCACAACAGGAAATTTAGTAACCAAGAAAATTAACTCAAATCCTTAATCATTCTGTGTGGTTGGCACCTATGCCTACATAATTCTTTGCTTTAACAACAATGAGCTTGATGAAACTATGTATGAATACCATATGGAGTCATTATCTGGCTACACATACATATAATGGTGTAAATGAAGTGTGCAGTCAAATAATTAGTAGTTTAAACCTTCAGCTGCCATTTTGAGAAGGCCTCTATGAACAAACCTTACTACCATATGCTTTATTTAACCTGCCATGACTGATATTTTTTATTACACTGGCTTATGAAATAATTTCACAAAAGTTTATTGAGGTGATTCCTCAGAAAAAAAAAAGTTATCAGACAATTTTTTTAAAATGTTCCTTAAATGTTCCCTCTCAATGTCTGTTTAATACAATTTAAAAGATAGGTCACAGTGCTTGTTCAAGAGATATGATGAACCAAACTTACCCCACTTATGCCTGTTTCTAATCACGCTATCATTTGATTGGCCTAAAGTACATTTTGAGGTAGCTGGATGCAAGGGTATTTAAAGTAACATTTCACTAAAAACTTGATAGGTAGAAACTCTCCAGCCTATGGAGCAATTTGATATATAATTTGCAAATAAAAAGAGACAATTTTAGACAACCTCGACTTAAAACGTTCCTCGAGTTGTTGCTTTCAAGGACATAATTTTCCTCATTGTGTAATGAGCTTTGTGCATGGTTTTAGCCATACCTTTTTTTCCCTTCAATAAATTTTTAAAATTCCTCAAATTTAAAGGGGATCACTTGTATAACAAAATCATGCAATGAAAAATATAGGTCACCATGCCTGTTCACAAGCTCAAGACCATCATACCTCCTTAACTGGTCCATGTATTAAAAAACAATACAGTATCCTCAGAATGCAAGCATGCTTATTTGTCTGATTACGTGATTTTTATGTACACTGGTGCAATACTGAGGAATCACCTTAATAACATTAAATTTTTTTTTTGTAAAATGCTGACCTTGACCTTAGCTAAGTTCCTAGCAGTATCCAACTGAGATTTTGTGATCACTGAGGCCTTGAAAAGAAAGCAGTTCCAATATCATCATAGTGAATTACTGAATACTCATAAATATAATTTATAGTACAATAAAAGGCTTGCCCATAAATACTGTCAAGGCTGTATGTTATAATAATAATAATAATAATAAACTAAGCTGTTTGTCACATAAAAGCATAGTCAGCAGGTTTTCAACATGACTTTTTTTACACCTGATTGAAATATGAATTTTTATTATTCCTCTGTAAACCTCATAACTCACAACATCCTAACATTCATTAACCTAAAAATTACCACATGTGAATTACTTTTATTATGGACCATTAAAGTGTTTTCTTAAGTTTTCAGATTGTGTAACTGTACACAGAACACCATTCCTTCATAGTCACAAACAGTGACAGAGGTGCAGCACTGCCTTATAACTGTTGTTCCCTGAAAGCACAATATTGTGCTGCTTACTTTGAGACACAATCCAGTTATTCAAAATCTTTTGGAATATCTGGTATCTGGTATTAACTAAAGTGTTACATCTACAGAGATGAAGAAACAAATCATTTACTTGGAAGATGTATAATAGCTGGTAGATAGTGGAATTATCATTCATATCTTAGCAGTCAGAGGTATGAGGTATACAATTTGTTCAATTTAAAAAGGTAAATTGAAACAAAATAACCACTAAAAATTAAAATATTAGTACTTAAATTTCATTACTTAGCTGAATCCCAATTGAATGTAACATTATCAATAACATTGTGTATTAATTTACTTCTACTGCATATCAATGCAAATAGTCTTACATTTGAAGTCAGTCCCACTGCCTTCTTGGGAGGGTGCCCACTTACAGGGCGTGGCGCCTCTGGCGTAGTGTGGATTGAGCTTGATTTAATACTGTTTCCATGGGAACTAGCTGTTGCGTTACTATCAGGGTTGTTCTGTCTAGGGCTATCATCAATACCAAATATGTGAGATTTTGTGCTCCCTCCTCTCCCAGCACTACCAGGTCGTGCACGGCGTCCACTTGGCGGCCTTTGATGACGTGATGTGGATGTGCCAGTTACTGACAGATTGGGTTGGGAATTTCCTTGCCAAAAGCTCATTGCATCCCTGCCATATCTTACATTTTAATGTCTACAAGCAAGATCAGACAATGCGATAAGTATCTAAACAAGCCTAACAAACAATAGCAAGATTTCCGCACAGCCCCATACTATTGTAAAACAAAGCTGTAGTCCCACAGGTAATCTCTTGTTTTCGCCATTGTTTCCTTTATCCCAGAACCGTTGGCATAATTATACATGGGGCTGTGCGGATATCTTACCCAAACTTTTAAGTGGTTTGAGCATTTAACACCACAGAAATACCCTGTGTTTTGCGTAGAATCGTCAACAATGACATGATCTCTAAAATAAATAAGCTCAAAATCTTAATAAAGAGCACAATGCCCGACGACTAACTATATTGTACATTTCTGTAAATTTCAAAGTGCCGAGTTAGTTATTACAAAGGACTCACTTCGCCTCACTTATTATCGAGTAGACAACTGAACCATTTCTTCCATAGAGGAACAACTCTGAATCGAAGAATTAGCACTGTGAAGAACATACAAAGAGATTCACCTCAGATCAACAGCATAATTTTCCCGCCAAAGACATTCGAAAATTAGAGCTGTTCACCGACGGACACTTCAACAACACTATCGAAGTAAGACTTCAGCAAAATTCTCCATTACGATTTTTCAGATCAAACCAAGCTAAAAGTCAATCAGCTGTATAAGTTGGAGTATAAACAGAAATCATAACAGTAGGAAACATGCTCAGCAACCATGTTTTGAGCCCGCATGGAATTTTCCGGCAAAACGCGGTCCTGTGATCAACTTGGATTCATGTATCTTACATGAAACGTCTGGGAACGCGGAACCAGCTTGACTTGACTGATAATAAAGGATACCTTTAAAGCGGGAAGCAACAAGCCTATTCAGCCAGTTTCGATATGGACATTCCACTCATATAATCACAACCGTGACGCAAATGGAAGAGTGAAGGCAACGAGTTTTGCGACGGGATGCAGAGAAAGAAACGTTATTCGTGTTTCGCTCTTAGTTATTCGCGTCGAGTAGAGCAAATAAAAGCGACAAACTCAGGTCTTGTGTCTTACTTCTTTTTTTTTTTCTTTCTTTTTCCCTATACTAATGTTTTTAGTTTTTTCTTTTTATATCCAAGGGGTATAATATACGAATCTTAACAAATTAAGGAAACAAATTATGGTCAAACAACCCGACACCGACTTTCCACTCAAAGGATTTGAACTCTATCGCCTGGAGGGATATGGCCAACAGCGAAACACGGTTAGGGACGGGAGCGAAACAATTCTGAATAGGAAGCTCTGGGAAGCTCTGATGCAAAGAAGTTGTTACAAATCTGAGACCTTGCCGTCGTGGTAGAACATTGCAATGAAACAAATCTGGTTTCAGAGCTGCGATTCACAAATAGGAACCGGAGAAAGAGGTTGCCACAAACCAACAATTACCCACGCAGTGTAAGCACTCCGAAAGACTCCCATAAATTTAAAATGAAATTCTACCTCGAAGTTGCCAAAAGAAACGGAAGAACTCATTCAAGTTCAAGGGCGTTAACATTTCTGTTACGTTCAGTTTTCGGCCGTTTGTAATGCACCAAATAGCCAGCAATCTAAATTTTCTTACACTCCAGAAACCCTGGAGATCTGTTTTGATGAACGATCACGAGCGTTTGGATATCGAGGGCAACAACTCGGGGTAACATAGACCAACCCGGAGGGTAAACGATATCGCGATATGTCTTTTTTGAAGCATTAACTGGTTTACACATTAATCTAGTAACCTTTTCACTCTCCCGCTGATGAAGCCTTACACTTCCTGTAGGGAAAACTTTTATTTAGCCTTTATTCCTCGCTATTTTAAAGTGTGCGTAAAAACAATGTTATTCTATACAGAGGTACAAAACCTACGATGAGCTTCTGCTAGTTCAATTTCAAAGAAAGATATGACTTGAAAAAGCAGTTCTAAATTCTTACAAAAGCTCATTACCGAGTAAAGACTACAACTCACTGCTGTAAAAAAGGGGGGTTAGGGAATTGAGAAAAAGGTCGTCGATCCCGTTGTTCTAACGAGACATTAGCTGTATGCCTGGCGTACAAAGTTGACTGAATGGAGTCAAGTTTCGATGTGAGTCAAGTGCAGTCGTTCGAATCATACCTATCGCGCTTCGCACTTGAATCTACTTCCCCCTCCACGTCCCAACTGTACAAATCTGTTTGTGTGGGCTTAACCAGACAGTAAAAGTCAATCATGCATTCTAGGTTGTCACGTCATGATGTCGTGGGAGTCCGCAAATCCGTTAAAGATTAAGAGCTGTGGGCTAACACTGCTCTTGTTAATACAAAACTTGAACGACTCTTCTATTTGTTCTTGAAAACTGCCCAGACAACATGCCAAAACAGTTGTAAAACCGATTGCAAAGTCCAGGAAAACACAAGTAAGCAATGAACAATGAATAAGTTCGCAGACACTTTGTTCCAATGTCTTTTTAACGTAATCCGCTGGTCATCTCGGAGCGTGCAGGCGCCCCATGAATCGTGAGGAGTCCTTTGATACGTCGGACGAGAACTTGGATAAATCCAACCCGCGTTCTTCCTTTTCCGTGCGTCTAAAAGCCAACAAAAATTAAAAAATAAAAAAAGAACGAAATAAACCACATGATTATAGATTGAAGAACTCTCTTTTTGTGATGCAGTGCATTGAAAAGCAATGTCGTTGATGACTACGAATGATGCTCGGATATTTTGAAGAGAAATTATCATGAAAGTCAGAAGAAGAGTTCCTCTCAGCGAAATATTTCTTGCATAGTCTGGTTTGTTAACCAGCTGTCTCGGGATTTCTTTAAGACTCGTACGAAGTTCGTTTAAGTTAGGTCAGTCGCCAGGACAGTTGGTATATTCTGTGTAGAGTGAAATTGTTGTCGAAAAAAACGACGAAATCCATCGTAACTAGATATCAAGTTAAAAGCATCTTCTCAGAATTAATACAAACTCGACATCGCTGGAGTTCTTCACTAGAATGAAAGGTGCATTTTAGCTCACGCATGTCCTTTTTAATTTGCAGATCGATATGCTCTCTACAATATGACCAAGAAAAAAGGTGGTTTTCACTTAACGCACCTGTTCAATCTCAACGAGTTTCTTCAAAAATGTCTCTGTAAGGATACTAGCTGCCTCTCTCTTGAGCTGCAATAAAAAAAAACTAAGACTCTTAGATTTGTAAACATCTTGCATGAATTAATGTCTTAGAAGTTGAGACTAAAGGTATGGTATCCATAACACACAACGATGGTCCAAGGTATGGTATCCATAAAGCCAAACCAAAAGTTACCTTTTGGGTAAAACAAATCATCGAAACGTAAAAGAAAACAATTATAGCTTATGTGAAAAGGGGGCGGAGTGCGGGGAGGGGTTGGAAACGCCACAGAAACAGCAAACGAACGAACGAACGAGTAAAGGTGCTCGAACAAACACTCACAGCGTCAATATCTTCTCGTGTCACACTTTCTCTAGATCTTATTGCTTCTGAAGCAGGATCTGATGTTATTGAAGCTTCCGTAAGCGACTGTCTCTCTGTAGAAGAAAAAAAAAATCAATGTTAATGTTGAATGACGCTTCATGGTGGTTAGGAAAAACTTAATTTAACAAAATTCTCCGAGCTGATATCTAACACCGTATATATTAGTGTCCTTCACTGCCTCTGCTTAGTCTCGTTAAACAACACACTCTTTCTGCTGCAGAGAGAACGCGCGACGCAACCAAATACATTGCCACGAAGGAGAATGACTAACTGATACCTCTTACAAAGAATCATTCCAGTCTATTGCCAGAATTTAAGGGATTCTTACAGTAGGTCCTTGCTTTTCTAAGTACAAAGTCACTCTACGACACTGATGATACTACGTTTAACAACAAAAAATTGCAAAAAATTGACTGTCAAATACATTTTAACAAATAAGTCATTTACCTATCTTTAACTAAAGTAATGCTCACTATTTACCACCTTGCCCCAAAGTTAATGAATACCCTCTCCTAGCCCTTAAAGAATTTATCAAAGAAGAAGTTGAATCCAAACTCTAAAGAAGACATATATCGAGTGAGCGCCAGCTATGCACTCTGTACCACAAGGGACCACAGTCAGTTCCAAAAAAGACAACAACAAAACAACACTACCATGTAATCGTCTCATTTGACTGCTGATTAGCGGCGGTCCAGCGAGAATGCGTCGTTCTTCATCCGACGGGATGCAGCGCAAAAAGTAGAAATCGAGGTGACGCCATAGAATAAACAAACAATTCTCAATAATGTCTGTTGAGTAAGTTAAGAGAAAACCTTTGTTGTCTTAAAAAAAAAACATAACAATAACGCATTGTTCTGTTCGGAACCGGGCTAAGAGCGAGGCAATCTTTGTTGCTTGCCTAATTAAAGTAGTAAGATCGCTCCACAAGAATCAAGGAGGCACGGCTTCGAACCGCGCTTTTTCTGAAGTTTCGTTTAAGCTTCTTTCTCTGCAATTTCACACAGAATTACAGTTCACCAGAGCTTATCTAGCCATACTTGTCATTTTGTGGTGTTTGATTTAGTGATAGCTGGAGAGCAAGGCATTTGAAAAGAATTTCTTTTCAAACAGCCCTGGAAAACGTTTGCAGAACATCAAAGGATACACAACTGGGCAGAAATCTCCTGCGTCTTGTACTGCACAACTTGAGTAAGACATTTCTGTGCCAGTTGGTGTCGTTGCTGTGTTGACAATCTCTCTTGAACAGCTCCACCGTGTTGAACTTGGTTTAACTGTGGGATTGGGAACATAAAACACTTATTCAGTTATTCACTCTGGCTCATTTTTGGGGTTGGAAGCAATACAGCGTGTCAAACAAGAATTAAACGTGACCATCACTAGGTAACACATTTAAAGTTAGAAAAGAAACTGTTGGAGCTACGTAACTGGCATGGAGCAGGAACGATTTGCAATTTTTACCCATACATCAACAAAGACATCTAAAGATTCTTATTCTTTCTGACTACAAGCGATAATTGAAATCAGAAATCAAACCTCTCTTAGTTCTTCACTCGTCAACTCGGTCACATTTTGCAGCTTCACACGCGTCTGTGACAACAACTCAGCCGTCTGAAAGACTTGATCGCAACACTTCTTCATGAAAGTCACAGGTAGACCAAGGCTGACTTGAAGGCGGAAAGACACCACGGTTGAGGAACGAATGGCTGTAAGAGATACAAATGATGAAGACAACAAACACAAGAGAACCAAACAATTAACTGAAAATAACTCTTTTAGTTTCTATTCAATGAGCTGAAATTCCTCACAGTTGTGAAACTTGACGATTTCTTCACAGCGCAAAACTTAGCCAAAGCATAGCAGAATAAAGCCGATCGCCAGCATAGACCCCACATGCACAAGCTGTTCCTGATCTGCTTTCTCTAGGCAAATCAACTCAAACGGTGATTTTTCCTCCACGTTTGGTTAGTACCTTAATGACATGCCCTTAAAGTTGGTTTTTTCGCGCTAAAAAGAACGTGATGTTTGAACTAGCGGTCGATTACAGAGTCTTCATCAACGCCGTTGTCTGAGTCTGTCACGCAACCGTCACCCTTCCCCTTATACGACGGCTGAAAAAGGGGACTACAGAACTTCCTAAATTGATAAAAATCTTTTGAAAGAGGTATACGTTCTATATCACTATCGTTGGGATGGAATTCCAGATATGCCATGGGCGTAAAATGAAGCTGTTACTCTCCATACCTTCTCTAGTGAGGCGAGAATCACGTGCTAAAGAGTCCGTCAAACTTGGTGAAAACAGCGCATGACAATGAGAGGGAACCGTACCTGGAGAAAAAGCGCACTTTGTTTACAACCCCTACATTACAGATGGATCTTAAATCCTTGAATACTGTCAGATAAAAAGAAAAAAGTTGCGCAAAAAACGGCAACATCGTGCAATAAATTCCTCAACGTACTACTGGATGTTTGGATGAAAGCAAGCGCGCCTAACGTCGTCAAGTAGAAAATAACCAGTAAATTTTTGTCGACTCTGTCCGTCACGCGAGTGGAGAGAAAGCTTCCACAGATAGGACTAAAATACAGTGTAGGCTAAAGTTGACAAAGCAGTAAGGTTACACTCCCAAATACATCGTCACGTAAGAGAAATCAAATTCAATTCAAAAAGTAAAATTCGTACCATATGAATCCATGACCGTTCTACAGTAACCAATAACATTTGAGCAGATTCTTTGCAACTTTTCGGTCGTTTCCATGGCGACCAAACTGTACTTAGCGCCAGGTTCCTCACCGTTTTTCTCCATTACGGATTTGATGATCTGCAAACGTCGTGAGACAGATTAAAATTCTCCTTAAAATAAACACAAGGACAACAAATCCAAGTCATGACTCTTCTCTAATAGCAAATTTGACGATTTAGAACGCCACAGGAAGACCTATTCCCCCAAGAGCTGGCTCTTTAAGTTACGGCTCTTACTGGCTCTTTAAGTTGAACAGTCCGTGAACAGATAGAAGCACAAACAAGAAAAACAAGGACCGTTCTTAAAAACGAAAACAATTGCGAGAATCATGATCAGTTTTCATTCAACAATAAAAGAACTACAGCACTGTACATAAACAAAGAGCGTTTGAAAATGCACTCCTTGCGCTTGCTTCAAATAAATGAGTGAGGTTAGCTAATCATCTCTCTCTCTCTTTTTCTCACGCACATTACTCACCTTCTCCCAACTATCGCTTGAACAATATCTCGGCAACAAACCAATCATGAGACGTTCGATCCTTGCTAGGGGTCCTCTAAGTTGGACTTGCTCTTGACCCAGGTCGTCGTCGGCAATGAGGGCATCCTCAGTGAGTGCCATGTTGCACACAATTCCTGTGACGAGACAGAGTTCCTTCAATGACCCGGATGATTGGAAAGGCTGTCTGTCTTGAAGAATGCTGACAAATACGTCCACATGTGACACGACAAAGTGTAAAACCTGCAGGGAAATAAACAGCTTAATTTTGCATCAGGAAATGAAACGACAGACAACCTCTACCACGTCTTCCACTTTGAGAGGCAAAAAATGAAAAACAATATTTTATGCAAGCTGCTGTGACTTTGACGCAAAACAATCTTGTGTATAATGCATACCAGCCATGCACTCCGTCTCATGGTGAAGAAGTAACTGTACAGTTTGAAATTTTCTTCAGAGTAAGGCTTATCGACTGGATGTGGCTTACAAGATGCCTGATGCACTTAGAAGAGAAGTGAACAAGCTATTTCTTGGTGATGCTATTAAAAAAAAATCGCTTTGTAGATGATAAGTTTGGAACGTGAAAAGCGTCTGGTCTAAGATGATGATTACAAAAATGGCGATGTGGCAATCATGAAAAGACTACAGGTACGAACCGAGTTTGAAACAAAGGAAAATAACATTTGAACCAAGGATAAAATTGAATCACAACATCTCTACATTACCTTAGAAGCTACTTCTTTGTGATTATGTGACCCCAGGGATGTCAACATTGCCAGTGATACTTTTAAGGCAGGGGTCAATAACTGTCTGTATCTCTCTAACACTGTGGGCACGAATGAGTCGTAGAGGACAGCGCTTGTATCGTGATCATGAGCGTAAATGCCACTGGTCATTAGCCTTTGAGCGGTGTCATGTTCGGGTTTGTGATCCAAAAAGGCACATTCTGCCAGGCGTGATAATAGCCCCGCTTGAAGAAGGACCTTAGCACCATCCGTAGACTGTGCCACTCGGGTTAGTAGGGCCATCTTCGACTCATAGATATACAAAGCCTGGTATGATATCAAGAGAGTTAGTATCATGGGGTCGTTCATTGTGATGAGAAATAGCTCATTATAATTGTGCGTCAAAATTAAGTCAATTCTGATACAGAAAGTCACATTTCAATTGGCTGAGTTCCAAAGGCGATAAGGAAGACTGATCACGCGTTAACTTAACAACCTTATGAGTTATGATACTATAGTGTGACTGTTAGGTCTTCCACAGCTTTGAACATCGAGAATCAACAGGTCACAGTTGTTGAAAACCGACAAAATCACAGCAGAATATCAAACAAGTCGACCTCACTGTCTGAGAGAGTTTAAGTGGATACTACCAGTATGAAGTGTTACATGGATAGCGACTTCACCCTAAGACAGAATCCGAGTGACAATAAGCATTATCACTACAATGACATCCAGGAGCTCATTTATAAGCTGAACTGAATCCACTGTAGGAGCATTACCTTAAGGGGCTCTGGGGATGGGTCCAACATTGATTGCAGCATATGGTCCTCGTGAGCCAAGCCGTCCACCATGTGCTTGAGGTAGCCTTTGAGGTTGAGGTAATTCAACCAACGGTGTTGCCAGTCAACAGCAATTATTGCATCAAGAAGGGAAAACGCTAACATCTGAAACGACAACAACAATAACAAAAGAGATCATCTCAGTAAAAAGAATGGAAGAGAGTCAAGAAATTTTATCCTACCTAACAACTAGAATATTTTCTTTCCTGGCTAGCTATTTAACCGATGTAATTACCCGCCCATCATAACTTAAGCCAGTTGCTCTGGTTGGAAACTAAAAACACATATTACTGAGTGGATGGGCAAGGATGAGACCATATAAAATATCACCTCACCACAATCCCACAGGTTTGAAAATTGTGTGATCCTGTTTTCAATAAATTCAAAATGCTTAAACGGCTTTCCAGTATTGACGCTTAAGTGCGGGTCTAAAAAAGCGCTTGAGCTTAACTTCCCCCAAGTTTTTAAGACGAAAACGCAATTTGTACTTCATGACTTACCCGGCCAACATCGTGTCCATCACAAGAATCTCTACAGACTGTGTCCATGAATGGTTCACCATAACTAGACAACACTGGTAGAATACTGGTGTCCCATGGCTGGCCGGGATATAAAGATAATACGTTTCTCATGACACCTGCAATGGCCAAATATTTGTTAGTGTCAATTGTGTAACAAAGCGTAAAGAACAACCAAAATACCGCTCGAACTTCTGAAAGTATGAAAAAGGGAAATCGTGGACTCGTCACTCCAACATCCCGCTTATCTCAAGTAGTCGATGTTACTGTCGAGCTTGAATATTTAACCCTTTGACTCTCAGAAATGATAACATGTAACTTCTCCCTACAATATCCTTGTATTATCCAGAAAACGGGTCATAAGAATACTCAAACTTATCGGGAGAAGTTGTGATCTAACACCAAATTCTCGAAACTACAAGGATACGTGTAGCAGGTAGAGGGGAGAATTAACAATCAGATCATGGAGGTTTAGGGGTTAACAATTACTCACCGAAGGAGAGGAAAATATCCACAACTTACACCGACAGTGAGGTAAATATTTGTTTTAGTATATACCACACAGAAACCAAAACAGTTCATTTCTGTTAATAACGACGCGCAATTTTGTCTCTTTATCTGCTCAGGGGTGAATAGTACGTGTCAGTATATACCACACAAGTAAATAGTGCTTTTAGCACGCACTGATTGGCTGGTTTGGAAGTGATTAGCAGGTACCATTCACTTCCGAGCAGCTGAAGAGACAAAATCGCGCGTCGACAATTTAATTTCGGACCACTTTTTGGTTTATCAAAATATAGAAATATATAGAAATTGCCTGGTTTTCTTTGGTTTCTGAGTGTTTCATGCTAAAAAATTATTCACCTCAGTGTCGGTGAAAGTGGTGGACATTTACCTTTACTTCAATGAATAATTGTGAATTAATCACGTGCGAACTAGCCACTCAGTGCGCACGAAAAGCTCTATTCACCTATCTGGTCTACTAACAATGCTTATTAAAATCCTCACAATCAATCCTAATAGCAGCTCAAGCTGAAAGAAAGTGTTACCACTGCTGGATATGACTTGCATCCATCAGCAGTAAGCATTAGGAAAGTCATGTCATGTCCTAATTGGCTAACTCGGATATGATCAACAAGCACTTCTTATCTTCGCGCAACTGAAGAGACAAATTGCGTAAGGGTTTTAATGTATGACAATGTTTTGTTACACTGACAGACATGGTATAAAGTTACACAATTATTCACCTCAGTGTCGGAGACAGTAATGGATATTTACCTCCACTTTGGCGAATAACTGCTAGTTATTTGTAAACCTCAAAGTTTATGACAGCTGAGATAAGGATAGACCCGCGAAATTACCTCTTTCTTCAGTTGATTCGGGCTCTGGCGCAGTCTGCATGAAGTACAGCAGCGCAGCGTACAGGTTTGCCCTGACCCGCTGCAATCCTCCTCCACACCGCAAGACGGTCTCTATCAAACCCTTTAAGATGGCTACAGATGGACCAACGGGAAGAGAGCTCCCAGCTTGAGGATGAACAGGTCTGCCTGCTCCGGTGCTGTCAACACCTGATGTGGATAAGGGGGCTGTGGGAATGGTAGACTGACGTAAATGCGCAAGGAGAGTTAAGATAACCCCGGATACAGGTGATGTCAGTTCAGGCAGAGCATTCTCATCTGCAATCTGAGTCAATCAATGAAAATGTTTTAAATTCATTTCAATAAGGTACTGATTAAGAAACAGACATTTAGCTAAAAGATAATGATTAATTACTAAAAAATATAGACTCTGACATGTATATCATCTCTCAGTCCTTACAAAAGTATTTCAGCGGATGTCTTTATATTTTCTTACAACTTGAGATCTGGTCTAAAAATTAAATCAGTTAATAATATACCGTATTTCCTCGAATAAGCGCCCTCCCCCGAATAAGCGCCCACACACTCAGCCATAATGTCAAACAAGCACCCCTCTCGAAAAAGCGCCCCCCTCCTTCCTCACTTTCCTACACAGTAGGAATACACGGAAACCTGTCTCTATAGCCACTTTATTTAGAACATTTTAAGCTTCCACTAAAGTATAAACACTAAAGGAGAATAGTTTCTTTTCCGTTCCAGTTATTTTAATCTGTGTCCATGTGCTTACAGAGTTCCTGTGAGTGCGTTATCTTTTCTTTCAATTTTATCCTATTGCTGCGCTAACTTAATAAGCACCCCCCCCTCCAAATTAAGCGCCCTCCATCCATAAGCAATAGGTGCCCCTCCTTTGAGCCGTAAGAGGAGTACATACCTTAGAGAGTAAATCCTGTAGTACTTCAGATATAATAGTCTGCCTTGTATCTCTTGGTAAGATATCAACAGAACACGAGGCCAGAGTCACTTCTATAACCCGTCTCCAAGCTTCAAATGCTTCCTTCTTGATGTGCAAACTCTCTCGTACCTTGTTCCGCAGCACGACATTATGAAGAATGTCTTTAACTTCCTTTTTTTAAGACAAACACAGCTACAGTTAGTACAATCGAAAAAAAAGAAGAAGAAAAGAAAAAGACATACAGCAGAAGAACTAACCAAAGCGGATTCGTAAACACGTCAAGCGCCGTAATTGACGTTACTATAACGTGAGCAGAGACGAAAATCCTCAAAGAGAAAACGGAGAAAGCTACCGAGTTAAATATATTGAACATAAAAGAATAAACTGAAAAGTACTCTGTACCAAGTTTCCAAAGCATAAAGCTGAGTGTGAGGAAAGTAAAAACCTTTGAAAGGACAACACTGACCTGCAACAAGAAGTTTCTCTGTCCAGCTGTAGCAGTGCCCTGTGCGCCAATTATCTCACTCATTAGTAGTTTATGAAGAACGGGAATATTACAGAGCGTCACACCACTATCCTCCGCCTTCTGTTCACAGGAAGCAATGGCCTCCTCAGTGACAGCCATATCAAAATAATTCAACTGTAAGAGTGGAGGCACATCCTGACAGAACTCTACAGACTCAAGAATGGCTAGAAGCTTCCGCCTAGTCTGCGTCTGTCCCATACCAGGATACCCTCCATGGCTGGTGTCAGCTTCGGTAAAATCATCCTCCAACCTCCTTGGAACTACCTCTGGGAAGTGCGTCATACCCATCAACGTCTGAGCTGATGGCTCTCCCATCAAGAGCGTCAGGAGCCTCTGGGTATGTGATCTTTGTCGGCCTTGAGCTGTCATCCTCAGCTCGATGGCAGCAGTCTTCAGAAGCCAGGACTGCTGATTGACGATGGTAAGCATTGGAACAGGAGGCTGTCCTTCGCCCATGTTCATATTTGCAAGATTCCTAAAAGGTAAGTGTTGAAGGTGCTGGTACAGGAAATCATGGCTTGTTCTCAGATAGCGCAGAGTCGGGATTGCAGTATCCTTATTGGCACATAGATTGTAAACAAGCTGATATGCGAGCTCGGTGAATTTTGGAGCGTCTGTAACACACGAAGGGCCACGATGTGTATCCACCTCTCTGTTCAGAATGTCTAGTACTGCGTGGAGACAAGTCTTTGAAGCACCAAGAACACCTGTACCCGAATAAATACATTGTATAAAAAACATATGAAATACATAGAATTTTTACCAGTGGATGATGAGTGACGAATTGATCCTAGCTAGTCACCAGCCTTCCAGATCTCACCGTGAATTAGTTTTCGAAGCCTTACCAGGCTCGATCAATTTTCAACCCTTATGGCGCTCTAGATTTGAACTTACCAGGATCCTGAAGATTGGTCTTGGACACAGGTTTTCTGAGCTCATAGCCCATCAAAAAATGAGCCAGATTGGGCGAAGGGTGTTGAAGAGAATAAAGAACTAATCTCAGAATATTTTGCCTCACAGCGTTGCGAATTTGTGACAATCCAAACGAGTTCTCATCTAAGAATTCTACAAAAGAATGAAAGGACAACAAACATAACTGCTTGGTTTTGGAGATTTCCATAGAAACCAAATTGTAATAGCATACGTCTAGCTAGAGAGGAGCATTAGCTGACGATAGCGAAGTCATAACAAGTTGTTTTCAGCATTGGCTCTCTCGACTGACGAAGAATTTGGAGATTTGAGTAAATTTAAAATTTAGCTGTCGCAACACTAAAATGAACCATTTGTAACAATTACACCTAAAAATTGTGCACTGCGGTATCAAGGCAAAGGGAATAAATTCCCCACATTTTTGTGATGAAAACTCTTACAGGGGTTCAAAAACCTATTGCCTGTCGACCTTGAAAGCTCCGTCTGGGAGCCAAATAAAACAACTGTTTTAATTGCGTTCTTTTAAAATGAGAGAGAAATAGTTAATTTGACAGAATGAACTCTAACCATTTCTTAGTTCTTGCTCATCTTTGCCAAGATTTTCTTCAGGTTCATTGATATCTAGCTGATCAACAAATCCAATGAGTATTTTCTGAGCGGCAGCCTAGAAGACAACAAAGCAGAAAACAATGAAACCCAAATTACACTCACGGTTTTTCAAAAACCCTGAATTTGAGCAAAAGGCTGAAATGTTAAGTCTTCCACCGAATGCTTGTCAAGGAAATAGTTTTTGTTTCAATCATTGGACATTAAAAAGTAAAATTGAGCCAAAGGAGTGTGAGATTACATGGTCTCTCCCATAGGAATTCACAAGCAAGTTCATCCGTCAGTTCTCAGTTTTTACATGAGCAGGGCTGTTGGGGTCATATGACTGTTAGAGTTTCTTTGTGATTTTGGGCAAACTTAGTTTGCCGTACCTGATTAGCAGTCAGGAGATTCACCAAGTGTCTCTGAACGGTTATTGACCGGCAGACCAAACACAAAATCTTAACAACAGATAGGCTGAGTTCAGCTCCAGTGTGAAGATGAGAAACAAACCTGCAGTAACCACAAAAAGTTACATCAGCTATGACAGCCTTATCGATGATATATATTATTGTTATATATATATATATATTTTTTTTTTTTTTTTCAACATAAAATGACAAAAGCATCTAAAATGAGAGAAGCTTGGTCAAAGTGTCCTTTGTGTCAGAGCGCCTGGACATTTTTGTGAGTCTCAACATCAACTACATTGCACATACAGTTCATGATCCCTTTGGGAAGAATTACATGAGTTTTCCGTTAATTTCCAGTTGCTCTGTGCGAGCCCTTTTTCCCCATACAGGGAGCTTCCATTATCATAGTGCGTATGTATCAACCTATCGCTATATCTCCATTCCATTCCTGTGGGGTATGTTTCTTTGTGGTAATAAAAAAAAGAGTTACATACAATTTAAGAGACAAGTTCTGAAAGCTTGCAATTTACAACCATGCAATTACAGCCACAAAAGATCTTGTTTAAAGAAAAAAAGACATAATGCTTTGTGAAGTTCCCGTAAATTTAAGTTCTGAAACCAGTCAAAAGAAAAGAAAAAAAAGTAGCAAAGTGGGAACCTTGTTTGCATTCCCCGCCACTAACGCTATATCTCTATTAACTACTAACAATGCTCCAGTCATAAAGAGGAAAATCACAGTACTCATATCAGCACTTACTTCATGATTTTAAGCAGGTAGTCGGGAGAGCCTGTCTGTGGATTAACGCTAAGCAGCAATTCCTCGAAAGGTGAAATCATCACCGTTGACTGTTGTGCTACGCTGCGATATAAGTCCACAAACTTCTCTTGTTTTTCCAAGGAAATTTCAATCATTCTCAGGCAGAGCAATGCCGCTTTTTCCAGATGTTCTCTTCCCTCTGAACAGTTTCAAGAGTTTAATGTTAAGTTGAACTTTATATCTATCAGCACACCAATAAACTACCAGGAGTTGGTAGTAAGGTAAACATAACTGTGAATTCTCTTGTGTGAAAGAGAATTTTTCGGTCTTAGGGGTTAGGGAAGTTAAATTTTTTTTGAAGAAGTTTTATTCAAGCAAAACTGAAGAAAACAAAATGTAAACAGTAAACCTCTGTCCGTAAAGAGTAATTCAACTAACTAAAAACCAAAGTAGCCTTGGAATAGCTACAGGGTGATTATGTTTTAAACCACTTTGCCCAGAATATTAGTATAGGTACAGTAACAACATGATTTCAAGTGCAATTTGGTGTTAATAAGAAGGCCGGAGTGAATTTTTCAAAGACAACAAAACTGTGTGAGCCTGTACGGCAAGTGCAATTTGTAGTCTGAGAAAAATTACAGGTACTTATTTACACCAAATTGCATGAGAAATCAACTTGTTACTTTTTCATAATTTACATGAAAAACACATCACAGAAAATCAACACAGACAAAAATTTGGCAACACGCCCTACTTGTAATTTGCACCTGTGTTACATGGAAAATGCACCCATTTTCAGCCAATCAGATGCGCAAATTTTTTTTCATGTATATTATCAAGGGCCAAACTGCCCTTCACTTCTTATGTTCATGCAGCTTACTTGGTTTCAACATGAAATCATCTACTGAATATTTTGTACACCTACATACCTGATGCAATGGAAAGATATTCAAGTGAAGATGAAGCACCATCAATAACATTCAGCAACTGACAGAAGGAAATCAAACACAGTATTTATCATAGGAACATGATGATGAAGTACTGTTTGTCTCTTGAGTTCTTTTGAGTCATTATACATGTAAATAAAAGGACAAAGTATTTAACCCCCAGAGCAAATAAAGTAGTACTGTGTTATTGGCTTCACAGAGTTCACATGTGCCATACTTAAACCCTAATTTCATGTGAAAAATCATTTAAATTTAGGGAGTGGCTTGGTTTCCTACATGGAAGTCTGGATTTGGAACAACTCTGTAAGCTGCCTGTCTTACAGCTGTATCATATACCAAGGTGGAGCACATAGTATGGAATGTTAAAAAAAAAAAAAAACCAAAAAAAAAAAAAAAAAAACACAAAAATTCTGAATTGCAAATTATAAGAGATAGCTGAATATACTATTTTGATATAAGTATAACCAGGTGAATGCATGATTCATAAAGTTTGCAAATAATACAGTTCCTCTGATAGCAGAAACATAAATTCTAATAAATAAAGCAGGGTAAAATTTTATCTCAATACATTATAAAACACAAAAAAAACCTCACCATTTTTAACATTTGTGTGTAATTTAACATGTATGTCATTAGAATGAATCCAGGAGGTTTAGGAACTTTCATCTGCTCTCCTCCCTGAATTTCAACATACTGGTCCACAAAATCATTTGGTTTTGGACTGTAACTTTCCAGTAACTTGAAGAGGATCTGTAGAACAGCACTGGCAACTTTCCACTGTCAACACAAATGGTATCATAAAGGCTAAGGGATACTTCTGGAAAAGTCCTCAGCAGTAAAACACAACTGCGACAGTGAGGAAATTGTAACCCTGGCAACTCTCAGAAACAATGAATGTGTTATTTCTCCCAACAATGTAGATGCAGTACCAAACAATCTGGTCTTCCATTAACCCTTTAATGACCAAGACAGAATTTCTCCTTACAATATCAATACACCATCAACCAGAAAAGAGATAATTATGAATAAAGAAAAATATAAATTCGGGGATAATTAGTTGATCCAATGCTTAGTTCTCTGATCTAATATTGTAAGAATTGTATGATTGACAGTAAGGAGAATTATAAATTTGATCTGGGAGTTAAAGAGTTAAATGAAAAATGTCATCCTTATATTACATCAAATTCTCTGCGCTATACTCAAGAGAAAATTATAATTGTGAATAGAGGGGAGAATTTCAATGAGATCCTAAGAGTCAAGGGGTATAGACAAAAGTAACACTGACAAGTGTTCAAACAGAACTTATCCTTGGAGTCAAATAGAAAATTCACACAAAAGGTGTGGAATTTTCTCTTAACATTTTCTGCTGATAATTTTTAACCAACTTTCCTATATATCGAGTAATTATGCTGATTGCCAGAAATTTAAAGAACTCTGTAAGAATTAGAATGTTTGGGTCATCTTCCAAAGGGAAACAATATTTTTTCGCAAAAGAAGTAGGAGCAGCAGTCAAAAAACTATGTAATTTGCATTGCAGCCCACTTTTGTGGAGCCAAATGATGGTTCCAAAGTTGTCTCACTCTGTGATACATGTATCTGTTCTGGAGATTTGAATTTAATTGCATTTTTTGAAAAGACAGACACAAGACAGTGAAAATTATAATTAACTTCAAACAAAATGCATAGTCACCTTTTCATGGGGATCTTGGTATCCTCGTGAATTGAACTTAAGAAACACCTCATCTCGTAGGAATGCCAGGTATGGTTCAAACCCAGGCACTCTGTAGCCTGCCCCCAAGTTTGCTGGTAGTGGAATATCTGTAAGATTTGTCAGCAGCTTCAGGAATGCTCTAGTCTCAGGGTAGGTCTCACTGCATGCTTCAAGTTCATTCAATTCCACCTGAAAAATCCAAAGAATTTTACAGTATCATCAATAACAAACATATTCTATAAAGGGAGTGAGTTTCTAAAGAAACTGTGGTGCTGTGTTGGTGGGGAGAGTATTACAGGGTAATTTTATATTATCAACTGAGTTGATAGTGTAAATTGGCCTCTGAAAGAGTTAAAAAGCTAACTATTTACGGTGGTCAATTTATGTTCTCAATTCAACTGATAATACCGAATTACCTTATCACATCCTATAACTGTATTATAAAGTTTGCTTGTCATGGCAGAAAGATACAAAAATATATTATTGTCAAACAATGCAAAAATTTGACAACCAACTTCTTGTAGAAGTTACTATAGCAAGTCATAGACCTACAGTACAGGAAAGGAAATAATAAAACATTGTATTCAGAAATATCCCACTGTCATAACAAATATCTACAATGTATAATGGTACATCTACATGTAGTAACTACTAACCTGTATTCCACCTTGCTGTACAGCTTGGCCAGCTGTTTGGACTGTCTGTAATATCTAAGGTAAAGAAAGTGTTGAAATTATTTTGATATTCTTTTGATAACAGATGGAATGAGAAACATACAAGTAGTAACATTATTTGGTTCAAATGATGAATAGTCAGAGAGAGTTGTTACTCATTTTGACTTAAGTTTGGAATAAAGAAAAATCTGAGTCAACCATGCAGAATTAAATCTCACACCTTCAGATTTTGCAGATTTTGCTTGCTAACAAGCAAGGCTATTGACATGCACTTCCACATCAGATCCTTCTCTACACTTCTTGACAACTGAGAGGTTGTGAATTAATTATAATGTACTTCTACAGACAGAGGCCAAGTTATCATTGAAGATTGTTTTCGAATAGCTCTATGTACAATTTTTCAACCTCATTTAACTTGCAATTATTGTAGACAATTCAACAACTTACACGCATAAAGATGCATAATGCCTAGCCCTACCTGTGATAATTCTAGGGTATGCCACAAAGAGGAAGCAATTTCGGGAGACTTTGCAAATGCAGCAAGTGTTGAAAGAATCTGTGCCTTTAGCCTCAGAGGCACAGGGCAACCAAGTAGGCCAAACAGGGATGCAATGGGAAGCCACGCTTGACTTTCACACATTGTAAGGCGGGCTATTTCATCCTAAAAACATGGTAATTGCATCTGATTAAAAAGCTCGAAAAGTTTTCTAACATTTCAATGAACTGTAGATCAATTTTAATTTTTCTGTTGCAAATCACCCTGCGCATTTCTTGAAGAATGTGATATCTTCAGAGATAAAATTCTAGTATGGTATTTGACAGATTTCTTGATTCTGCTTTTAGATTTCAATAAGAGAACTGACAATGCGTGTAGTATAAAAAGTGACCAGACTTTTGAAAAGTACTAACAATCTATTTCTTCAAAATCACCTGATCAGCAATTCTCTCTGTAAGTTTTAACACTGCCTCCAGCCCTTCCAATTCCTCAGGTGTTATGTTACGGTTTGTTGGGCGTGGTCTGTGAACCTGGCCTGTTTCTCGTTGCAAGCCACCATACATCATCACTAAGAGACATTGCCATGATAAAAAAATTATTAAAAGAATCATTAAAAAGACTCTGCAAGAGGCAGGGAAATAAAAAAGAAATATGCTATGAATTGGAGATGGCTTTTAAGCTTACATATTATGTACATTGCATTGTGAACCAAAAATATGCACATCATCCAATAACAACTACTGCACAAATCTATAGCCATTAACTTTATCAGGAGATCACCATCAAAAAAGCAGGGATTTTTTTTCAACCAAGATTTGGTTTGATCATAAAACAAACAAAAACAAATCCTTCAATGGTGAAGTGAATGCCTGTGTTGGCTCTATACTGATGAAAAGAGACAGGGAAAAAGTAATCAGATATCAAAGTATCACCTGTGTTTGCACCATCCTGTCTTAGATCCATGTAATACTGTTTAACAGAAGCAAAGAAATGATCCCAAGACAGAGGACCATTTGCTGTAGATTTGAGCAAGTTGAAGCAGTGATGAGCAGCCTGAGGGCTGTTTGAGAGACCACACAGCATTTCAATGTATGGGACAAAAAGTGGAGCAGGCAATAAATCTCCTGCCAGCCGCACAAACTTGTAGAGGCTCACCTGAAAAAGGAGAGAAAATTGATTCAAAAAGGAATTTAAGTTCATAAAATATTTGGAATTTTTTTCGTGGAGCAATTGACTATTTCTTATACAATGGGATATTTGTTTTTGAAAACAAATCTAAAGTGATAAAAAGACATACAGGCAGCAAAGTAAATGGAACCCTGGGTTGCTGAATGGAAGTTTTGAAAATATGGTTTTTGTGGAGCAATTGAAGATTTCTTGTATAAGAATAGATCATGTTTCCTTATATTGTTTTTGAAAACAAATCTAAAGTGATAAAAAGACATACAGGCAGCAAAGTAAATGGAACCCTGGGTTGCTGAATGGAAGTTTTGAAAATTCAATTCATTTGAGGCAAACATTAGGTAAAGAGAAGGTCACAGGAACTAACATGTGCTTTGTCAAAAGTTTTGCCAAATGAGAAAGTAAAGAGGGAAAATTCTGCTAACAAAAGAAAATCTAAACTTACAGTAGAAAACAAAGCTCACAATTGCAGCCTGTCCTGTATAGGAAAATTTACCACATAAATCCGAGCTCTAGCTTCTCTTTGAGAAGTTTCTCCTTGAGAAGTTTCTCCTTGAGAAGATCAAAGTTACTTATGTTATGTACATGTACAAGTTCCAACAAATTAATGAAATTTATCATTCCCTTACTTGCTTCTGTGATGCATGAGGTCTGAAGCTTGGTGAAATTCTTGATGAGTCATAAGGTGAAAATGGTGTGAAAGAGCTTGCATCCAAAGGACACCAGAAATCTACAGCCAGTTCAAGACCAAGTGAATCATTCTCATAAAGTTCTCCAATCTGTGGAAATTTGAGAAGAAAATTACTTAAAACATGCTAAAGAAATTGTGCACACAAGTTCAGTGTGGTAGCTAAGTTGGAAAGTTATTTGCAAAAAAAATAAGATCACACAAATAATTAAATTCATACCCAAAGCTACATGTATGTATTCAGGGTATTCTTTAAGGTTTTAAGTAGCTGGAGCTTTTTTAAAGGTAAATGGTATTCACATCTCGAAATCCAATATGGCGGACAAAACGTCACCTTTGTACTTTCCTGCCACAGCAGCAAGATTTGTCCAAAAGAAAGTCCCCATCAGAACGTTTTTGAACTAACCTTGATCCAGAAGTCTTTTTATATTTTCAGAAAAGATAGGCAGAGCAAATTAATATTTTTATTGAGCTCAAGTTTAGACCAGATAAACATCATCTCTGTACAGGCTCCAGAAGGTAGTAGCCGGCAAAACCTTGCAGAGAAGCCAGCGTACTTCGCCAGCTGCCAGCTCTTATCTACAACCCTGATGTATTATAGACCATGTCTAAAGTCAAATAGCCTGAAAATTTACCAACTCTATAAACTTACCAACCAAGACATGGAATTTAGTTTTTGGGCTTCAGCAGGGTGCATGTCATAAGTTTGAGCTAACTTGGAGCTGAGTTACATGGTACAACTTTGTCGCATGCCACAAGCTTGCAACAGGCCTACAACACATCTTAGGACCATAAACATGTGCAAGATATTTTCACCTGGGACACGCCAAGATTACATATAATTCCACTCCCTCTTAAAATAGTCTTTACACCCATTATTGAAAAGGACTTCTTCTTCACCACACAAAGGAATTAACTTCTTTATCTCCTCTTCTGAAAAAGGTATCAACCAACCAACAACAGCAGCTTTGTCTGCCATTTTGACAAAAGAAAACTTTACTTTTCTCTCTCTACACAGTGGAAATTTGTCACAAAAAATGGCATTTTCATTGATTATGGCTACAATTGTCTCAGCGATTTAAAACATGTTTTCAAATCCTACAACAGTCTTTGAGATGTATACCACAGTTGTAGGCAAGTTGTAAGTTTGATTTACATGAAACAATTCATATCATAGGCCTATTGCACGCTTGTTGCATGCGACAAAGTTCTGGCGTGAAAATTGGCCCTTATCTAGGAAGTGACTTGACTGAAGGATCCAACTAAACTGATTGACAAAGTTTGAGTTTCAATGCTTAAAGTTGAGTGAGCACTGACCATTCTCATCAAATCTTCAAAGTGTCTCAGCAAACCAGCAGGGGGCTCCACACCATCTTGCAAGTGAGCCTGGAGAATACGTGCCACTTCATCACCATGGTTGCGAAGTTCTTTAACCTACAATGAAACACAAGTGGTTTTATGGATTTCAAAAGTATACAATTTAAGAAATTACATGCATAGTACAGATATCTTTCATCAGATGCTTTGATATGTAATACCATGGGGCATTTAATAACAATGAACAAATGAAAAAAATAAAAACAATATAGTTTGAAGTATCAGTAGAGTTGTATTGCTACAAACAATCAAGGTTTCGAAACACTGACATAGAAGTTGTGGCTATCTTTCACATTTATCAAGTCTAGAGAGAGCAAAATTTCATTTGTTGTACCTTCTTTTTCATTGGAATTTACACCACCTTTAACTTAAAATGCTCTTTCAATCTGATTTTTCAAGATTATCACTTCAAAACCCACCATAAAGTTGAAATTCCTTCAGCATCGAAAAAAAAAAACAAACAAGTACTTAGTAGCCAAGCTTTAAATGTTGGGAGGAGTCTGGGCCAGGACCTGGCCATTGTCTGGCCATAAACAGAAAGCACAATATGGTGGGAGAAGAACAGGAGCCTGATAATGCAGTCAACAAATTTGCCATGAAGGTAGTAAAAAACAATGAGAGATTCCTTGTATGTTGGTGTTTAGTTGTTCGAGTAAAGCAAAAATGAATTGCTTGAAAGAACTATTGGAGAGCAAGATTCGCCGATAAACAGTTGAAAACATAAACAGCTCCTTTAGAAGCCACCGCTCAATGAAAAAGTCAATGAACTACAGCAACACGCTCTCAGTTTCTTAAATTTCTTGGCATCTTAAGAAGTTTTATGAACATTAATGAGGTTTTTGAGCACTCCAAACACAGATGTATCCATGGATAAGCCGCACCCTTGATTTTTGGCTTCAATTTTGTGAAAAAAAGTGCAGCTTATACATGGACGTTTACGGTATATTAAATCTCAACATAATGGTTTGACAAAATAAGAAAATACCTTTAAAGGCATCTTAACAATAAATCCAGTCACAAGTGAGTGTAAGCGTTGGACAAAGTATTCCTGCAGAGTAAAGTCACATTGTTAGCACCAGGGCACAGATTAATGTTCTTTTAAGCTATGGTTCATCAACACCCTGAGAAATTGTCCTGAACAAGTTAGAATCTAGTGCAGAAAACTGGATCTTCAACACCACTTGTCCATGTGACAAGATCAGTTCTGAAAACTGAAAACAAAAGAACGTTTTGAAGTAAAATAAATTATTAGTTTAAATTGTCTTTTAAAGACACTGACAAATGTAGCCCTGTAGATAAGTTGCAATTTAGTGATTTTAGTGCACAAGCCAAGATGCAAATCAACTTTTTCATCTCAATCTTTATGTACTTTCAACATAATGGGCTCAAAAAGAAATAATGGCATACCTCCTGGTGAAAATTGGTGGCTCGTACCACAGAGTACCGAAGGAAACTCAAAACGTTTTCTTGCACAGCCAGATCTAACTCCTCTTCATCTTTCTCCAGTACCTCTACTGCTCCAACAATATTAGGCCACTGGCTGCAGGTTCGTAGTACCAGAGCCCAAGCAAAGCGGACACATGCACACATCCCTTGGTTTTCCCATGTTCCCTGCTGTTTGAGTTCCAGATGAAACTCTGGAATAAAGCTGTGGTCCGTCAACAAAGGGAACATTTCCTCTGTAAGAAAAAAAGAGAGAAAAGAACAAACAATAATTTATAAACCCCTATCATGACTAGAAAATGTTGCATTTCACCCTTACATCTGACTCCCAGAAGTGACTCAAATGCAGCTTCTCCTTACCATTCCAATCAGTTATCTCATAAACAGGTTATGGGAGAAGACAATCTTATCAGCTAGAGGATGTTATTTTGGTCTATGACCATATCCTCATGTTTATTTTACAAGGAAAAGAATAGCAGTATGTAGTGAGAATTATTAAGTAAATCTTGGGAATTAAAAGGTTAAATGTATATCTATAGCATAATCATTCCACCCTCAGGACCCAATTTCACAACACAAATTTGCAATATATGGAAATCAATTATGATTCAAAAGAAAACCATCTTAGTTAAACAAAAAAACTACGATATTAATCAAACTGACACCTTAGCGGAGAGTTTCAGTTAAGAGACAAATAGAAACAGACAGTTTTACCTTTTTTCAGTGTTGACAATGAACTTGAGAAAACTTTTCTTTTCTCATGACATTAGAAGAAAAACAAAACCCATGACTAATCCAGAACAACACCTAAAATAAACTTGACAGAGCCAAACAATAATTTATGCATCAAGTGTAAAATTCTGCTTAAGTTTTTCAAGTTCATTAGTTCCAATCCAAAACAATATTCATCTTCCTTTTCTGTCTTTTACCTTACAAAATTAATATTTCAGGTTTTCATTCCAGTAATAATTAAAGCCCATGCTCCTTAGAGACACAAATGATTCAAAATATCATGATGTACATTTAGCTTCATAAAGCTTGTGTTACAAGACATAATACATGATCAAACCTTGAAAAGACCCTTGCATGTCTGCTGCTTCATCCAGAGGATCAACATTTAAACAGTACAACATGGCCATCAACAGAGTTAGAGTGACACTGTCAAGTGAGCCATCCGCATCTGTAGAAGGACATTTCTTGAGAAAAGACAACAGTTGTAGGCAGTCACTTTTTGGTAGCGGTGATTGGCAAGCAAAGCAAAAGAGACATTCGGCCAAGAGTTGTCTTTGATCTGTGATAAAGTCAATAAGTTGTTGTTTGTGACGTTCATCACCTATGGCTTGTCCTCTCTCCAACTTGTCAAGTTCATTTTGAACGTCAAGATGCTCAAGTTGCTGAAGAATTGTTCTAACCAATCCTGAAATAACAAGCAAGCACAGTACACTGAACATCAAGATTCCTGTTGCCACGTGTCTTGTTAACAATTACTGTAGATTCCATGATGTCATGTGTCTTTTAACTCTTTAACCCCTAGGAGTGACTAGCATCTAATTTCTCCTTAAAATATCACCACTGAATCACACATTCATGTCATGAGAATAAAGGAAATGATCACCAACTAAAGAAACTCTTGATTGTTAGACAAATTCTCCTAGTCAGCACCTTAGTAAATGTACAGAGAACAATATGGAGAATATGAATTCTGATGTTAAGGTGTAAAGGGTTAAAAAATAGATTCCGTGTCACCATGCATCTGTTCAGTAAGGGTTCACATATCACACCAAAATGTGGTTAAAACAAAACAGCTCACAAACCACAGCCCAGTGTGTCTCTGCTAATGTTCTCACCACATACCCATGTCTCCTGTGATGTGTTACTGAACAGACATATGGCAACATAGTCTATTTGTTTTACCTACATGTGATAAAGAAACAAAATTTTGTGACTGTAATGTGATCTATGAGTCTGTCCTCCAAAGGATTATAAATAAGAAACAAATAAAAATGTAGCTATAGTTTGGCTTTTGTTGAAAAAAGTGACAGCCTAACAGAAGTTATTAAATAAAGATATATAAGTAGAAATAAGTAGCAACCTCGTAATCTAGCTTACTTCATTTCCTTCCCTCTCTTAAAAATGTTTTTCAGTAAGCAGTACCACAAACAGTTGTTGAACTTAATATGACACATATTTTGCCCATTTCTATAAAAACACCCATTACCTTCTTTCAAAAGTTCATCAGTGAATGTCGTTACTAACTGTGTCATCTCTTCATAGAGGCCCAACGTCCATGTTATTCCCTCTCTAGACTGTATCAATGTTCTTAAGGCACTAATTAAACATCTCCTCCCATCATGGTACAAGAGCACTGCCACCAAACCTCTGGTTAGGCCAGGAAAGTTGGGTTGCTGCTGTTCACCAGCAAGAAGTAACTCAACACACACAAACTCATTCAGTTCAAGACTGTCACTAAGAATGAGGGCCTCCTTGACAAACTGCTCAGGAAGCTTCTGTTTCTCTGTAAAGCCAGCAAGTTGAAGACCATTAGTGGGGGCTCTCTTCAATTGCTCTCGGTGGTCTGTATTTTTTGCCTACAAATTAAAAGAAAGAAAAGGGAACTCGTTTTGATATGAAACACTAGAAATAAGTGGAGTAAATTTTTAAATTGGGCTAAATCAGTTTCAATTTTTTGGTTGTGTTTGTTTGTTCATATGTTTTTTCGTCTTTTTGGGGGGAGGGGGAGGGGGAGGGGGGCTTACTGTAACAGTATTTACAGATTCTCCCTTATATTTCAATTTTACATCCTCCACTTACCACTCTAGGATCTTTGAGAGAATAAGAGTACGTTGAGTCAAGAGATACCACAATTTCAGAAACATTATAAAGTTTCCAAGACAGGTGGTCAAGTGTTACAAATCAGATGCTTATAAGATTTACAGTGCATCTCAGCAGGATTCTAGTTAGTAATGTGCCGATCAATTTGAAGCTTCAACATCCCTGCCCTGAGAGGCCCATGGGCACTTTGGGTGAACCAATCTTTAAAAGTCCCAATGCTCCCTCGGGGAAAGGGGATATGTTGAAGCTTCGAATTGACTGACGCATATCTTTGCGGTGAGCAGACGTCATGCCTAACTTCTGAGATCTTCAGATACGGTTGATACCTCTCTTATCTAGTTTCTGTTCGTTTGTTTGAAGCTTTCTGAACTGTTTGTACACAGTACAGTCGTAAGTGTGATGATCTGACTTAAATTCGAACGAAGATTAGATCATATCGGAAAACGAAGAGCTAGAAAAAAAACCCAACTACAATTTAAAAATCAAATTTTCAGATTTTTATGGGGCACATTACATCATTGTAACGCTATCTGAAAGAAAAGAATCATGATCAGTAATTTGACGTACCGGATTTTTAAGTAAAGTGATAAAATCCGGATTGAATTTATCCAATGCAACCTCTAGTTCATGAAAAACTTCTGGAGTTTTCTTGTACAAAGCAGCTCGTTCTACCGTCGCAAGAAGTTCCTTGTACGGCCTCCATGTTCCTATAGAGGTGAGTAAAAGCATTAAATCATGGTGCTCCAACATGACAGTAACACTAATTTAATCTTTACCTCCTCTAGCGGCCGCCATCTTAATTAAGCGCGCAAAGCGTGCATGCTTAGTAACCGAGCTTGACCGTTACTTGCTGAAAAACTGAGTTCTAGCTCAGGTGCCTGGCCAGTCTGTCAGCCTTAATCACATGAGGATAATAAGAGAATTTCATTGGATAACAACGGAGGTTAAGTGACAAGCCGAATCCCCGCGTAAAATTGAACGCGCCAAAAATTCACAACCGCTTTCTAACGCGGTTTCGTTGCGCCAAGGGAGAAAGGAGAGGTGATATTTCAGTTAGTTTAGCTTCTCGCTGCTACTTAAGTGAAATTGGTCCATATGAACCTTCAACAACGCTGCAGTGTCTTGTTCCCAAGGAAAAAGTGACGGATTTTTAAATCAAGGGGTAAGTTACACACTGTAGTAACGTGATCATCTGCTCCGAGCGTAACGCTTCGCGCCTCTTGAAGTTTGTAGCTAATAAGCACTCAATTTGCTACATTTTCTCCAACACAGGCGTATCGTCCTTTCCTGATCTACCTCTTATTGGATTTTTTTCAGAAGTATTTTGTGATTAACTTATCTTTCCCAAACTAGAAATGAAATCATACGAAAATCTGAGACAACCTTTCGGTACGATCAAGAGTTAGTGGACGCGCTAAACTGAATCTCTGTCATTCGCACATAATGATGTGTAAATAGTTTTGTATACTCAAACTACGTCTCATTCGTTATTAGGACTTTTCAAATGATTTTCTTTCGATTCAACTTATTACAGGAATATTATGGAATCTAAAACAGTTACGCAGACTTTCGTCGCTTCGGATGTAAGCGATCATTCAAACACAGATTATATAGCAAGCGACAATGATGAGACTGAAAGTGTTTGTGTTAGTTCATCGCATTCGATTCCTTTACGTCGATATCCCTCGCTGGCAGAGCTTTCCTCTATAGCCACAAACTGTGAAGGAACTAATATAACTACTGTCGATTTATCGATGGAGGAGAAGAAACTAATGCTAGCTCCCAGCACCGAAGATTGTAAAATTCAAACTTCAAATCAGCTGAATAGTATCTGGAATCGAGGGCCGCCAGTCACACCACCAAAGGTTGCCGAAGCAGGCAAAACCTCGTCAAATCAATGTGGAGATGATCCCTTAACTCCGACTGCTAACCTTAAAATGCTCGTCAGTGCTGCTAGTCCAGCAATACGCGATCGGGAAACCAGGAAGAGAGAATTATTTCCAGGTGAAAGTTTTAACACCTTTGAGACGCTCCAGTCAGCGGCGAGTGTGCTAATTTCAAACTCAGGACAGTCTGATGCACTTAGAAGTGAGCGGGATTTGAGTGATGAATCTTCTCATGTTGTATATGGAGAAAACAAGATAACCATCAGCCGGAAAGACAAGTCGCTGGGGCTTCTGTGTCAGAAGTAAGTAAAATTCTCAAATGGGCGCGTTGTATCATGATCGACCGTTTAGCGCCAAATTTGGTTAAACGTGGCAATGTTTGAATTCGTAATGAAAGGTGAAGCAAGGTTGATTACGCGCCAAAAGACGACTATCCTTCGTTTGATTGCGATAATAATATTAATCGATTATTTTTACTTCGATAAAGTAAGAACACGACAGCTATTTCTTGCCTCTCCCTAAAATATAGGAAGGATTATATTATCTTACCTCCCTAACGACGAGATGGCGTTACCAACTCTCTCAAGTAGTAACTGAAGTCACGTTTAGTAGAATGGCAAAGTTAGTCCATGGATGTCATGTCTGTTATCTTAAAATCTGTATACGTTTTTGGTTGAAATAGTTGTTTTTACACAGGTCTATTATTACTTCTCAAACACGTTGAGTGTGATTGCATAATTCTTGATTTTTGTTCTCTTTGGAGGTAAAACATACACGACGTTGTCCTTTTCTCAACAGGTTTTTGTCCAAATATCCAGAATACCCAAAAGCTAACGAGTTTATTGAGATTGGCCTTGATGATGTGGCAAAGGACCTTAGTAAGAAAAATATATTTATTTTGGAGATACATAACAATTTAAGTTGTACAGTTAGAGGAAACCAGGACGTACCTGGAAATTTGGTTGAGCATCGCCTTGTGTTGGTGTAGCCACAGTAGGCATAGTTAACTTTTCTAGAAAAATTAATTAGGAGGTAGTGCAACTATCTAATAAAAAAAGAAAATCCTAAAGCTGGTGCAGAATGGACTTTTAATTTCTTCCCTATATTTATTTCACAGGTGTGGAAAGGAGGCGAATTTATGACATTGTCAATGTTTTGGAAAGTGTAGAAGTTATAAGCAGATATGCAAAGAACAGATATGTCTGGCATGGAAAATCAAGACTTCCCTCTACTCTAATAAAGCTTAAGGTAAAAATTAAAGTAACTTCTGACACATACATGTACACACCAATATACATGTTTTCGTTGCTTTCATTCTAATGGTTTTTTTTTTCCGGAGTATTTGAGATTTCAAAAATTGAGATGTTGACAGCATTAAGTGATGCCAAAGAAGGCTGCAGTGTAAATGCACTGTATATGCCAATTCATTTTAGATGAGATTTATACTGCTATCAATACACTTATTCAAACCAGAATTCTACCATTCTAGTATGTACTGAATTCAAGTTCTTCTGAGCTAAACTGAGGTAACACAAAAGTTTTTCATGAGAAATATAGTAGCAAGAGAAAACAGAAAAGTAACAGAAGTTCTTGTCTGAATCAAAAATTTCATTGGTTGTCAAAATTTAGAAAATTGAGCAAAGTGATCAGTGAATTTTCTGATCACTATTTTAGCAATTCAAAACATTTTAAACTTCGCTATATTCACGGTAGGTTGAGTCCTAATCATCTTTTTTCAATCAAACTGTAATGAGATTTTTGAGATGTACAAGAAGCAAGCATGTTTTCAGTCTTGTAATTTTTACTCATTCTTTTTTTTTTTTATCTTGTTTAAAACAGCACTATGCCGTATCAAAAGGGCTGAAATTAAAGCCCTCATTTCCAGGAAAGGAACATCTAAAATCAAAAGACACTAAAAAGGAAAAGGTAATCAAGATAAATGAAATGCAAAATTATCTCTTTTTTTGCTACACTAGTAAAATTTGGGATCTGCAACTAGGATTGGCTGCTACAGATGATAAGTTTTGTCAAATTGATTGTGAGAAGTATTTTAAACTTGGTAAAAAGGTTTAATCTTGCATTTATATTATACAGCGTCCGCTTGCATGCCTGAGCAACTCATTATTGAGTGCTACAAAATTTCCTGTTCTCAACCTAAAGAGAAGAAATCTTGGAACAGGCAATTCCTGACAGGGTCAAGAGAAACATCAGTTTTCTACTTTTTCTGTCTACATTATGTATCCAGTGAATCTAAAACATTTTTTAATTTGTTTTCTTAGAGTAAAGTTCCAGTTACATCAGCATTGTCCAGCCAGTTACCTTTAATCCTCCCAAAGAATTCTAGTCTTGTGTCCCTTGTTCAAGCTTTAAAACCTCATGTGTCCCAAATGAACAACAACCTCATGCCACCACCTGCCACTGTGAAAGACAGTACAGCAGAAGAAAAAGCTGGTAAAAATCTGAAATTTAGAGGTTTGTATGATTCTTTTGATCTTTTTTAATATCCCAGATGTAATTGTTGGTTTCTCAGTTGTTGTTAGTTTATACCTTGTTATCATTCCTTTATAGGCTTCATTTTAATTTATCCCAAAACAGATTTAGATTAAAAGTTACCACATTTCAAGTTTTTAACATCAGCAACAGTAGGACTCCATAGTAATTGAAAATTTATTTGAGATCAATATTTCAAACATCAATTCTTGCTAACATGCATTGTCATTTATTTGTTATTTTTTTATAAAGATAATGAATACTGCAGAAAAGACAAGTCATTGGGAGTTCTCAGTCAAAAGTTTTTGATGATGTTTCTTGTCTCTGAGGTATGCACAATGCACATGTTGAATGCCACCTTCACACCATTAAAGCATGTTTAGTTAAACCAGGTTTACTTTCACCTTAATGAAATCTAGCTACAGAAAATGAACAAATTGAATTTTACAATGGATTTAAGTAATCAATAGATTTTAATTTCATTTCACTAAATTTTAAGTTGCCAAACACAGCTGTAAGCAACATCTTTGAGGAAACCAATTTTCAACCATGTCTAACAAAACAGGTGTGAAACATGTTTTAGCTTTTATATGAATGGTATTTAAGTCAAATACTTCTCTAGATTGAACTTTAAGGGCCAGCTATTTAAACAAAGTTTAGCCATTGTTTAACAAAACCCGCCCAGAATAATCCTCAATTTAGCTGGACCTTTCATCAGAACATTTATTTTTGTGAACTGTGTCGAGAGGGCCAAAAGCTTGCAGTATAAGGGCATTTATTTAATTGAATCAACCCTCAATTGTGTAAATCAGTGGTTTGGTTAGACCTCGTGCAAATAACCAGCCCTAACTGTTCCTCACATGTTTTAACTCAATATATTTGATTACGCTAGACAAGACATGTGACCCTAGAGGATGCTGCAAATGTACTGATTGGTGAGGAGGAAGAAGGCCAAACAAAGTATAAAAGTAGGCATGAATACAAATTGCATAATTATATACGCACTGATAAGGTGAACACAGCTGGGAGAAAATTGTAACATACCAGTAAATGTAAGAAAAGAATTTTAGAAGGAAAAAAGGAAAAATTGACATGCCAGTACTTAAAAAAGTAGAAAAAAATTTTATGACTAACAAGACCAAGCTTTTCTGTGTTGAAAATATGATGTATAACAATGAAAATCTGAGGCAGGATTTAGACACGCAATTACTGTGATACTGTTGGTAATCTTTCAATGACACAATCATTCTCTTTCAGCTAAAGTCAGACGACTGTATGACATTGCCAACATTCTATCAAGCCTTCAGCTAATAGAGAAAGTGCACATCCACAGCATCCAGGCAGGAAGGAAACCTGGCTTCAGATGGATAGGAATAGATCCTGATAAACTGGAATTATTGGTACCCAACACCCAAGGTATTGCAATTTTGGTCAAAAGCACCAATTAGTTATATAATGAGCGTGAAGTAAGATAATTTAGAAGTTGCTCATCTAGATAGTGACTCCCCATCAAAAGATACCAAGTGAAAATGTAGATTTGAAGCGCTTTACTTTTAAGCACCCTGGGCACCTACATTTGAAGAAGGCTAATTGTCATTCAGACACCATGACAGCCTATTAGTGTATTTGGAGCTTTGTAAATATTTTTCAGATGTAATGAACCCCTTCCCCTGTAGATTTCATCCGTACCCCTCTCTTTCATGTCAAGTGACTTTGAAAAGGTCAATGATCAGAATGTTTTAAACTACCAGATGTGAAGACACGTCTGTGTCGGAAAAGTGGTGTATGGAGGTGCACGTTACTTCAAGCTGCCCTTGTCTAAGATGTGTTCTTTTCATTTGTTCCCGTTTTACAGATGAGGTAGACAACCCACCAACAGTACACAGGGTCTCTGGAGAAAAGAGAAACGAACTCCAGTTTGATGAAGACGAAGAAAGTAAGTTTAAAGGATCAAACACTGAAAAAGAGACAACTAACCTCTAGGTACCGCATATTATCTGCACTTACTCTCGGGCACCACTTGATCTACGGGTTACAAGCTTTTTGAAAAAACGTCTCCAAAATCTTGTTCAAAGAAAACTGAAATCTATTATCGCACCGTAATCTTTTCATATTACTATTGGTCAGGTGCTGTAGGACGTTTTATCAGGCGGAGACCAAGCCAGCAACAAATTAGACCAAAGACAGGGGAGACTGAAGCAAGCAAAAGCAAGTTGCCGCGTTCACGATCAGAGAGAGTCTTGAGCACGAAGAATGGAGGTCAGCGAGAATGCGAGGATGGTTTTTCAGTTCAAGAGATCGCAGCTTCGTTTGGTAAGTTAATCCACCATTCTCAAGCTTTCTGTGTAATCGTACAACTGAAAGTTTGTTCTTGTCTTAGCTTGGTTCCGTTTGTATTGGCAGGTGTGGGTTCATCAACAGGCAGTCCAACTGAAGCTAAATTCCGTGCAGAGTTGAAGAAACTACACCAACAATACCCTGATCATATCCTTTGATTATTTACCTTCTCAAGATATTTTACCCTCTGTATTCTAGTTGTTCAGGAAAAGAGGTCCATTAACAAATGCTTAAGCGCGGTTTTTCCTCTCTTTCAAATGGAAAGGTTATTTTAATGGTTATTAGTGCCTGTGGCTAAGTAAAGTTTAACTGCAACCTGATTTACTGAGAACCTGAAATTTGGCCTTTATTCATCCTTGACGTTTCGCACGTATGTCGCAGTTACTTTCAGCTTGCAGTTATTCAGACGATTTCGAAGCTAGAAAGAGTCGTCGTTCCTTGTTCATGCCACAAAAATCGGAACTGGACGGTGCTCCAGAGCCGAAACGAAGACGAAGCGCCGACGATGCGTACTCCATCAGGCAAGACACAGATGCTGGGTTTTCACATTCAACGACTTCACCGTTCAAAAGTCTTCAAGAAGGAAAGAACGTTCCTTCAGTTAGCAGCCCTAAACAGACAAGTCCGACCGGAAAATTAAATCTGGCATCCCCTGAACAAAAGATTCTCTTAGAGAGACAAAAACAGCGGCAACTATTAGAAGAACAGGAGGGGTTTGACTCTCAAGATGAACGTTGGAAGCGCATGGAACGCGAGCTGGATAAAGCTTTTCCTAAAGGGGGACCAACCCGTCCAATGATGGTCCATCAGTCTTCGTCACCCCTGCCCTACGACGCACTCGTAGAGCAAACGTCTGTAGCCATTCAAGCCAGTCTTATAGACGACTTAAGCCCTCTGAAACCATTGAGCTATTACCGAAAGGTTAAGTCCCCTTGGAAAAATACTGAGTCTCAACAGAGCTCTTGTACAACTTCATCGCCTGTTCCATTTCAGGGTGGATCTGTCATGAATGCGCTCTCCAATCCGCACGCGATGTCGCCGGTGCCAATTCTTCCGGCAACAGAGCGTCCTGCTAGTGTTAACAACGCATGCCCGAACAGTGCTTACTTTTTGCAAATCCCTGTTTCAGCAGGAGGTAACGGAGGGTCAGTAGTGTGGGCCACACCCACCCCTCCCTCTGGTAGCTCAACACCTTCTCCAGACCAACTCATTAAGATGGCGGCATCGCCTGTGAACGCACCACTGCTTTACAGTCCCAGGTCACTCACGCCCACTCCTGAACCTGTTTCATTGGAGCCGTCTGTTGCCGGTAAACAACAAGCGGTTATCACAACTCCCTTGGTCACCGTGCTTGAACCTCAGCAAGTTCGCCCCGTGCAACAGACCTTATCAATTCAACTTCCAGCAATTCCTCAAGTAGGCAAAGCCGAATTGTATTCAGTCACGCCCATCACGGGCAATATTACTCCATTGCAGTTTGCTACTCCATTGGTCAAACTCACAGATCTCAAAAAGGTCGTTTCCATGGAAACACCTACTACTACAGTACAGCTGCTGACGGATGTGTCTAAACGCCTATCACTTCCGTTTTCGGGTGAACAATCTATGTAGGTGAATTTTTTTCAAAGAAAAATTTTTAGTAATTTTTTATATAGGAATACAAGTGTTGCCCTGCCTTTCGCAATATTTTTTCAAGTACATTAAGATTAGCGAAAGTATAGGCAATTACTTTTCAGAATTTTCCGATCATTACTCTTTAAAACTCCTCCAGGACTGATGAGAGTGGAAACAATTTTTTTAAGTACAGTGCTTTATGAAGCAAATAGATTTTGGAGCAGATTTTGCTGAATAGCTCACAGTTAAAATCATTGTGCAAAGTACCGGTCACAGATAGGTGATTTTATTTTACTCCATTTTTTTCTGGAAAACAGTTTGGAGGGAGATAAAATTGTTGATTTATTTTATTCAGAATTGTATTTTTTATGTCAAGTGGAAGTTATCAAATGTATAATTTAGCTTTGGAGCTTTTGAGCGATCCTTTGGTCGCAAATCGTTTTATTCTTTGTAATGACTGAAGAAGTTGTCCAGTTTGAAGAATATGATGTCCTGGTGTGTGTTAAATTTCCTTGATTACTTACCAAGGTTAAATGCTTTTGTCACTGCGACTGAAACAAACGGTTTATTTTATAGCAGGGCCGGACTAAGTTTGGCAACTGTGTAGTGCAGACAGTTCTATTGTTTACCTTTGGTCTTCTCATTCACTTCAATTTTGCAACCTCATCAAAACTTTGAGTAAATTTCTATAATGGCAAAGGAAATCACAACCAAGTCTCAAATTGTAAACCTGAAATATCAATAACCGCCTTTTAAACATTCCAGTCCTGGGTAATATGGGTAATGTGAATCGAAGGAACGACTGACGTTCTTGAGAATAGTTTCGTGCACAGCGCGGAAGATTATTTGTCATGTACTTCATGACAATGATCGACCGCTAAATTTGTAGAAATAATTTTCCCTGTTACTTGACCATTACCGTTTAGGTAATCCGGGTCAAAAAATTCCTTGGATTAGTTTTCTTGAGGACAGCTAAGAGAACTTACAGGTAATGACGCTTATCTTAACAAGGTGCTTGTTCCTTCGAGCATCGAGTGCTTTTAAGTATTTTTTTCGTCTCCAACCAGGCCCACTCAATTCCGGCCGTTGCAATGAAGATTGCCTCGTAAGGGGGGGGCCTCCTTTGCCATTTATTTCCTGCTGTAAGCGCTCAGTTTCATGAGTTCCTTAAAAAGAATTCCGCCTCTTTTTCTGTCAATCACAAGTTCGTGACAATAGAGAAGGTAAACCTTACTAAGAATTTGTGTCAAGGCTGCAATCTGCTTAACTTTTAGACCCCCGTGGGGTTACTAACATCTAATTTCTCACTAATATGGTATCACTGCGGAATCAAAAATTAGGCCCACGAGAATTAAGGAAATGAACGTAAAATTGAAAAGCTCTTGATATTTATCAAATTTTGCTTGTTTGTACCATAGGAAATCTATAAAGAACATTATGGAGAATATACATGCTGATGTTAAGGTGTAAAGGGTTAACTGGTTGTAAATCTCGTATTTTCATTTGTGCTTTAAATGCGGTGAACGTGACTAGAGGATTTCCACGGTCTTTCTTGTAAGCACCTTTAACAAAGCATTCCCGTATGATGAAATTTTACTCCTGACTATCCAAACCCGTACAATCTTGTGAGCCACTTTTTTTACGGAGACCGGTATCTGAAACGTCAAATACAGGCAAAGAAAGTGTCTTGCTCAAAAACTAAGCGAGGTTAACTCCTTTTTCTTTTGAGTAACATCCTAAATCAACGTTTCACAAATATGATGCGTCAATGCAATTTTTCCTCACCCTCCAATATAGCGTTTGAACTCGCGAAATCCCTTGACATACCTCAAGCGCGAGACTGATGCTCCTTTTGTCATTGGAAATACCCCGCCCTCCCAGAAGAATGGTGATCGCAACCAAAGTTACCTGAACCGGAACACGCAAGGCAGGTTCAGGTCTTTCATAAATTGGCTGACCTACATATTCAAAGGAACAATTAATTAGCTTTATACTGATGCTTTTCAAAAAATAAGACAGACTCAGGAATTAAACAATTCCGACCAATCATTTCTACTGCAAATACTCACTTCTATGAGTTAGGTGAGTTTCTTAAATGACACCGCTTTCTTTCTAGATATTCATTGCCCAATAGCTAGTGCAAGCCTGAAGACAAAAAAAGTGAAACGACTGACAAAGTTTACTGTACTGAGAGCTTATTTCTTGATTGCAATCTGCTGAATAAGTTGTAAGAGCAATATCCATAGCTTACTTCCATTATTTCGTAAAACACGCATATGAGGTGAATGGTTAAACATAACAGTGACACCTTTGTAACTCTTCAATACGAAAAATTTCGCAAAAGTTTTCTACATAACACTCCGAAAGGAGTGATTATAAATGCACCTGAGGTTTCCAACCTATACCATCTTATAGGTTCCTTTTTGACCTAGACTGGAATTGTTATAGCAAGGAGATGACAAAGGAAGTGTCTTGATAATAAAGTAAGCCAGATTTGCTTGTTGTTCTCTTGGGTAACTTTTAGTTCTAAATGTACAATCCACAGGTATGATACTTTGTCCTCATTTAGGCCTGGGTCAGGAGAGTAAATTGCCTTAAGATAATAAACAGCTATATCTCCGCAAATACACAGCCAATTACCCTGAAATTTTCGTGGACGATAGTTTTCCGTAAGAACTTTTACCTTATGGCAACAATGCCGAGGAGGAAAGTCACATGTCGGGTCACGTGATCAAAACGCTACTCAATCAGTTTTTATTGGAATTGGTAAGATTTACACACACTCTTCACTGATTAATGAATGAAACAAATACTCAGTAAAAAATTCTAGCCATCTACGTTTGGAATAAATTTCCTTCGTTCCTTCAAAAAGAGAATTGAGATTTTTTAGAGCTGCGAAGAGAATTTTGTAAACTTAATAGCATTTTGTTTGTTATCAACTGTACTTGACATATCATTCCGAACGTGAAGACAAAGTTTATCAATGCCTTCTTCCATTTTTCAAAAGATAATTGCGTGAAACGGAAACTTCAGCACCGGCAGGTGCGTTATGATTACTCTTTTAAGGGCTACGAAGAATGCCGCCATTTTGTTTCTTCTCGTTAATAATACATGAACAAGACCTGACAATTACATTACACCGCTGAGTACAAAGGTGCAAATCAAATATGGCGGTCAACAGGGGTCATAGAACAATCACTGCAGCGAAAAGTGATACTGCTTAAATAACTGACTTAGTTTATTATTTGGCGCTCTAGAACAGTATGTTTGCGACTCTTGTAATTCGAGGAACGCTGAAATACTTCAATGATGATTAATAATTTGCGTTTGTTTGTAGTTGCTTTTGTTTTTTTGCACTTTCCACTCGTGGAACGCATTATATATGGCTTGTGGTTTCCTATCGAGTCAAATATACGACAGTTTTTACATAAAAAAATCCCAAATGTTTCTCTTGCCATGGCTACCAAGTCAGTTTACCAACAGTCAGTCAGTTTTTCAAATTTCAGTTTGACATGCTGATTTGCTAATGTTAAGTTATGGGAGGCAATTTCCCTTGCCAAAAAATAAGAAAAAATAACAAGATATGATAATGAGTCAGGAAAGGCGTAAGCTGGCATCTGGAAGAGAGGTATTGGCTGTACAAGGAAAATTTCAAAGAATATCTTCATCAACATGTCAGCAAAAGTGTTTATTTTCTCTACAAACCTTTTGAAGGTTTCCAAATACTTACTGATAGAAAAAAAAAGCAGCATCAACTACAAACAAAATTCCCTATCTCTGATAAGTTTTTTTTTCTAAAGAATTATAAGGCCATTGATCACCTAATTTCACAAGATCACAGTGGTCACTACTGAAAAATAGAGGAATTAGCTAAAAACATTTACCATTAAAAGCTGGCAGCAAACTGCCCTAGGTAAATCAACCCTGCGAAGAGACTTTGGTAGACTTAATGGCATTTTGCATTAACATGCAGCACAGTATTAATGCTTTATTGAAACAACTCCAGTAGAGAGTATCTTTTACAAGAAAAATACATGCTGTGCAGTGAACAGAAGGGAGCCATTTACAGATGTTAAAAATAAAATAAAAAAAAGAACTGGCTAGCAAAAAAGATTTCCAAACAAACACAGAAGAAGGTCAAAAACTTTGGGACAGTGATCTAAAAAGAATTTGCCAAAGTAAGCAAGGAGTGATTGGGAAAGTCCTTTGGTGAGGTAATATCCCTGGTTCCTGAGGCTGGGTTAACAAAGAAGGAATCACCTGTTAATGCAAAGAAAAAAATTGTAAAGCAAAGATAAAATTATTAAAGGATGTGAAAATTCTTTTTAAAAAAAAATATGTAGGCCTTCACCTGGCTCAGCATATATCATTTGCAAGGCAAAGAACAGTGGAATGCTTCAATATCATCAATAAAGCAAAGGAAAGGGTCACCAATACACCAAAGTGACAAAAGAGGTTGCATGTTCTCACCACATTGGATGGGGACCTTTAGCAGCTGCTGCTGGATGTCACTGTCAAGGAGTACCATTCAACAGACAAGAGGCAAGTGTCCCACCAACCAATGCTGGGCAGGTTTTAAAAGAGTATTCAGGCAGTAGACACCAGTGTATTAGAAAAACAAACAAGTAAGTTCTAGGTTGTTCTACATACCAGCAAATTAAATGTAGTGCCTGAAGATTCAACCATATCAATATGTTTTCTAACACGTACAGCCCTCTTATACTGGTGAAAAGATCATTAAAAAAAACCATCTAACTCAGTTTCATAACCAAGTTGACAGTCATTCTTAATCAGTAATATAACTTGCAGTTACTGATCAGAAGGCAAGCTCAAACAAAAAAAATAAGTATTTTCATTGCAGAAAATTCAGAAAGGTCAAAGTTAAACCACCTCAAAACATTGACCAGCTCTAGGTGCCATTGTTTGATAATTAGATGACACCTACATAGCCAATCCAGCCACATGTAAGCATTCCTTTGATGGTCATTCAGTCAGTTATGTTCAATAATATTTATAATAGGATTTATACCTTCCAGCTTATTCTGATTCTTCATAAGACCCCACAACACTTCACCAGATTCCAGTGTTGTTGGATGTCAACAGTATTTGCTGTAAACAAAAAAGTATAATACACAATACTTTTAAGTATGATTAAAAACAATTTTTTGGGGGGTCATGGGCATATCACTAGCCTTTGGAATGTAACTTAAGCCTTTGTCATCAAAGGTTAAAGACCGACCACTAATTTTGGCAAGTCTCTCGTGATCCATTCAGCCAAAATCTATTTTTCACTGTACATGTAAGAACACAACTGTGTAAGTAGAACTTTTATTTTCCTCATTAATTCAAAATGCACAAGCATTGTAGCTTAATTGATAAATTCTCTTTGTTGAAGGACTCACAAAAAAAAGGTGTATAATAAACAATATTGTTAAGTATGATTAAAAACAAATTTTTTTTTGGTCATGGGCATATCACTAGTCTTTGGAATGTAACTTGAGCCTTTGTCATCAAAGGTTATAACCGACCACTCATTTTGACAAGTCTCTCGTGATCGATTCAACCAAAGTCTATTTTTCGCTGTACATGACTGTAAGAACACACCTGTGTAAGTATAGCTTTTATTTTCCTCATTAATTCGAAAAGTACAAGCATTGTAGCTTAATTGATAAATTCTCTTTGTCGAAGCTCATAGCTCATATATTGCCGAGAAAAGTGTTGTGCTGCATTTCACTGTGAAATTTTTGACTTGGGATTGAACGTACCACTGTATTCAGATTTGATAAACAAACAAATGTGATCTACTCTATGGGAAAGGTTACACATCGAGGTTTATTAATTTTACGCTCATCCCATACTGATGAGAATGAAAATTTCCCAAGTATATTAAAAAAAATTGGATCCCTTGTTTAGTAAACCAAAAAAATGCATTTTCCTCGAACGCTCTTCATTAATGGTGTACGTGTTAGTAAATTCGCAGCTACAGCAAATTAGAGCTAATTTCTGAAAAACAACACTCACCTCAACTGTAAATCTGACATCTGCGAAAAAACAGCGTCTTCTGAAATATTTAGGCTAGAAATCGATCTTAACTTCCTCGAAAACGTGAACGCTCTAATCGTAGATCGACCGCCA